AGGAGGTGCGAGTGCGCATGCGCCTCTACTGTAGCCTGGAGTTTGTTTAATAGTGACGGAGAGTCGATAATCGCGGACAGTTTAGTCTCGACGAAATCAAGGAATGCGCCACTATGGCAACACTTTGGCTTTGAGCCAGACAAAGGAGGCAACCCTTGTTTGCACTGATTGAGTAAGCTGCAAAATTTATTTGTAAGGAATAAAAGAAACAACTTGTTACTGTCACTCCGTTGTCCTAAGGTCGTTTTTTATTTTAAATGAGTCAATTGCGCCCCCAAGTGGCGAAAATCCGGTATTACTGACTTGATGCGGTTTTTTTGGTTGTTTTTTTTTTACAAAAACCGGACCGTTTTTTTTTTTTTTCTCATACCGACCCAACCCTAATTCAAACTGGAGTTTAAACTGTACTAACTCCTCCTCCGCAGACAATGCTGGTGTCCATGGTAGACGCCGCTGAGGGTCTGTGTCCTCATGTGATGAAGAAGAGCGGCCTTCGTCAGGAGCTGCTGAAGGCCGGAGCAGGGAGGATGACCATCCCTCGCTGCTTCATCACCACCACACTGCTGGAGCAGTCGGGGGTTGACATCATCAACAAGATCAGGTCTGATCTGCTGCGTGTGTCTGTGTGTTTGCATGGTTAGCTTAGCATAAGCTTTACCAGATCTTGCCTCATCTTACAGTCATTGGAAAAGAATTTTCCAGGAGAACAAGTCCAGTATTTAGCCAAATTCTTGCAGCTGATGTGTGATTTCAAGGCGATAAATATTTTTTTTCCAGATATCAGTCATGTGCTTCCATAACAAACTGGTTTTCTGTGGCCTCCCTGATTCTAATTACCAGAGTCCAAGCAGACACTGCTTTTGAATTTCCAGATACAAAGTCTGTCTTTTTCTTTTTTCATGGTCCCACTGAGTCCCATCAAAACATGTTTTTGTGTTTACACAGGCCTGATCAGGGCCCAGTTTCACTAAATTTGCAACAGGAAGTCTGTGATCTGTCACTAATTTTGACACGTTTTGCAATTTTTTTAACTGATCTGTTAGCTTAGTTTTTTTCTTGATGTTATGTCTGTTTTGTAAATCCTTTTTTTTTTTACCTCGTTTGATATATAATGCTTATCATTTTTAGTTCGGTCAGGACTACTTAAGTCAAAGACAACTTTATTGCCATTTGCAGTAACATATTTGGCGGTATGGCTCTGTTCTGGGGCCTAACTGCCTTTCCTAGGCCTATGCAAAAAGCCTAAAGCAGGATTTATACTTGTGCGTCAGCTCTATGCAGAGCCTACACCATAGCCTATGCACGTGGCCTACGCCGTTGTGAGCATTTATACTTGTGCGGTGGTCACTCTGCTGTTACACCTCCAAAATACTAGTTGGCGGTGGGGTTTCTGTGAAATGCTGTTAAGTTTAGTTGATTCAAAACACACCTAAAACACACATTAAACATGGTTTAATAGAGACAGTTTCAAACACAAATACACAAAGCGGCTTCATTATGACTCACAGGATTCACAATCAAAACATTTGTCTTTTGCAGGACACATTTTCCCCACAAATTCAACATGCTAATGTTTTTAGCACAAGTCTATGGCATTTTACATTGTATAAATTAGCCTAACAGCTAGCGGAGATATACCCCACTCATATGAAGCCAGGAGCAACAGCAACATTTCAGAAAGGTAACGTTACAAAATTGGGTTCCATTACAACTCACAAGGTTTACAGACAAACTACTGTCTTAATAAACACATTTTCCAAACAAATACAACATGCTAATGTTATTAGCACAAGCCTGTGACATTTTGCACTGTATAAATTAGCCTAGCAACGAGCAGAGATTTCCTCTGCTTAAATGAAGCCAGGATCAGTCCCGAAGTATAAATCACCAAAGGATAAACACAAGACTTAAAATGCTTTGGGGGCGTTATCGTCTTCACAATTTATTGTTTCTAATCTGTGCAATTAAAGTAAATAATAGCTTTGTTTCCACAGAGGGAAATGGATTTTAGCTCACAAAAATAGACAGGTCTGCATTGCCATGATATGAAGGTACACATCAGGCTACAGCGTAGGGTTTGGCATAGGCTCTACGTTGACGCAGAGCCCACGCCATAGGTACAGCATTGATTAGACACAGGAGTGTAAATCTTGCATACAGCGGAGAAAGCACACCTCTCTGCCCTTCCATGTGCCTTCATGGAAATCCTAAGGCAGAGAGAGCAAACCTCTCCGCCCTTCCACGCATCTATATGGAAAGCCTTAAGGCAGAGAGAGCAAACCACTCTGCCACTCAGCTGATTGAAGAAAGGGAGTCAGCTGATAGATCACATGATTCCTTTCTATGCAACAAATTGGCAAATCTCATTCAGGGTGCCCTATTTAAAATACTCTGGCCTGCCTACTGTTGCTGCTTCCTCTGCAAGCCGCTTTGCAACCCGCCTCCACCCCAGCTTCTCCTATTATATATAATACTATGCCAAATATAATACTGCAATGGAAATATTTTCTGTTCTGTGTTTTATTTTTGTGTTGTTTTTTCTATGTGAAACAGTGAAGTGAAGCTGAGCATGGCCTCATTTCTGTCTGATCGCATCGTGGATGAGATCCTGGAGTCTCTGTCCAGATCACAGCACACTCTGGTTAGTGTCCTCTCTGCCTGCCTGTCTGTCTTTTTATCTGTTATTCTGTCCATTCATCCCTTCCTCTTTCCTCCTTTTTGTCTTCAGGGTGACCATCTGATCAGGAAGAGTCAGCCTCTGCTGCATCATGAACCCCAGATGGAGACGGAGGTTTTGGATGAGTTGGTTCTGCAGCCAGAGAAAAAGGAACACAAACAAAGCCATGACCAGGAGCAGAAACATGGGCTGGAGCACATGGACACCTGCATTGTTAGAAAACACAGAACAACACAAACTCTTTTACACCAGTCACTGCATAATAGCCTGTATAAAATGGGTTATGAATAGTCTGAATAGAACAAGAGTTCACTGTGGTAAATATTCACTGTCTCAACAGCTTTGCAGAGTTGAGCGCACTTAATGTACAAACTCCCAGAAGCATCAAAAGAATGTTGTTATAGTCTTCTGTAAAACCAACACATCTCCTCCTGCCACGCAGAATTTGTGCTTTTTCAAAAAAATAAAATGAAAACCTGTTTTTGCTCTTTAGATGACTCCTAAATCCAAGAGGAAGAGTATTCTGGTCAGGATGCTGCGCCCTGTCTCTGTGGCATTTGGTAAGTGAGAAAATCTCAACATGTTATAAATAGGTCTGTCACAATAACTTTTTTTATTGAGTGATGTATTGTCCCAGAAATAACTTTGGTCAAACAATATTATTGTCAGTTTAAGACCATTTTATGCCACTGATATAAGGATGATATAGTGGCATAATGATGCAAGTGCACCCTTTCAAAGAACAATGAACTTGTTCTCTAGAATATTCAGATACTGGAACTGGGATATTTTTATGCCTCCTTTGCCGGCAATAGCTGTGGTGGTCAAAAGTCAAGGTCGCCATGACCTTGAATCCTTCTTATTCTTTTTATATCTCAAGAACAGCTTGAGATGATTTCTTCAAATTTGGCACAAATGTCAATTTGGACTGAAGAATAAACTGATTAGAATTTTGTGGTTGTATGTAAAAGGTCAAGGTCAGTGTGACCTCATAAAATGTGTTTTTTGCCATAACTCAAGAATTCATATGCTAATAAGGACAAAACTTCACATAAATGTCTAATAGAATAAAATAATGGAATGATGTCATTTTATATCCAAAAGGTCAAAGGTCATCTTCACTGTGACATCATAATGTTCTGCATAAAACACTTTTTTGTCCATTATTCAGCATCATATTTAGGGAACAGAAGGGGAGACGTTTGATCAAGGTCTTTTCTGTTTTCAAATATAAAGATAAGCAGACAACTTGAACGCAGATTAATTACATTAAATGTATGTACATAATGGGAAGCAGGCAGAGTTAGGAGCCATGAAACCTCTATTTTGTAAATACTTGTAGAAATTAGTCCAATGAAGTTTGAATTCCTGTGATAGCTGTATAAAAGAGAAGGGGAGACATTTGGTCAGATACTGAATTGGTGACTGTAATCTTGGGTGTCCACCTTGAAACTTTGCTGATTGTATAGATCTTCTTTGTGTGAAGCATCCATGTTTTCACAGACATGGTTGGAAACTGTAAGAGAAACTTGACTGGTGTGTGGAGGCATACAAATGCGGGGCAGTAATTCTAGTCTTAAGTAAGTAAGTAATAAGTAAGTAACATCTGTTTATTGACAAGAAAGTATTCATAAAATGATAGTACCTTTATAGGAATAGCTCAAAATTACACAGTTTGAGACTAAATACAAAATTTGGCAAGCAAAAACAAACAAGTGATGCCTCTTGCAACCAACAGACGAGCTTAGCAAAGCTCCAGGAACACCACAGTTAGCTCCATAATCCAGCCGGTGTGCGGCAGTTGGCTCTTAGGGATGGAGTGGAGGATGTCAAGTTGTTGGAGGTTAAAACTACAAACGATGGACTTTTTGGCCTGTTCCCAGGGGCTGAAGGCTAATGATTATTAGGACTATGCCTCTTGCACTCAAAAAGTGCAGCTGCAGGCTACCAGTAAGCTATACTGTGTCATCTTCGAAGGGTGCCTTTATTTTTCTTCGGACTCGCACAAGTAGGCGAAGTGGCGAGGAAAAAAGGGAGGATCACAGTAAAAGTCGGGAAAACCCTGCTGTTTATTCTGGCATCATGCTGGCTAAAATGTTGGTGACCTTCTTATGTAAACAGCAATCATGTAAACACAATGGGCAATATCAAGGTCAACAAAATTATTAATGTTCATATAACCTAAGATAAGTTGATAATGTAATTGTTGTGACAGGCTAGGTTATAAAGCCACTTAAGGTAGCAATTACTTTAACAACTACAGACACAATTGATTTTCTTTACCCGTCTCTAAACATGCTATTCTTGCCTGGCATCATTTCCTGCACAAATTTTAAAATTTGTTGTCTTTTATATGTAAGTGGCTTCACTCTCTGCTATTTACACTGACTGTACAGCTAAAGGCTGTGGATGTTTTCATGGAAAATTGTATGCTGCATTTTGTTTCACCTCTGTAAAACAAGTGTCTAATGAGATGATGGACCAGGACAAAGAAATTTACAGTTGGTAGGTTTTACAGTTTTTCATGGCTTTGCCTTTTTTTGCCCAACAGAGATGGAGTTTGACCTAGACAAGGCTCTGGAGGAGGTTCCTATCCATGTTGAGGACCCTCCTCTTCCTCCTCCTCCTCCTCCTCCTCCACAGTCAGCGGACAGAATGTCAACCTACTGCGGAGACCTCCCTCCTCCTCCTACCCCACTGAATACAAAGTCCATCTGTTTGAGCGAGCTGCCATCTGTGGAGCACAAGGTGCTGGAGCATCACACCAAACTCCGCCCGAAACCAAAGAAGAGGACAAAACCCAGCCGACCTGTAGGTTGCCATCAGAGAGCAAAATCCAAATCACCAGTGATACCAGTCCTTTTGTTTGTGTGTATTTGTAGGGTTTTTTTGTTTGTTTGTTTGTTTGTTTGTTTGTTTTGTTTTGTTTTGTTTTATTGCTTTAGTTTAGTGCTACACCCTTAGAAAAATAAGGGTTCGTCCTGAAGGGCTGAGGTTCCACCTAGAACTGTTTGCCTCTTAGAAACCCTTTTTTCAAGAAAGCATTCTTTAATTGTTTTTTGTAAAACTAAGGTTCCATTACAAACTCTTTTACATCCAAAGAGCCCTTTTGGAAAAAGAGTTTTTCAAGGATTGTTGAAATCATGGGTGTTAAAAGATCCTCACCCCCAGATATTCAAATGTTTACCCATGTTTCAAGTTGTATTTTTAAATGTAGATGTATCTGAAATACCCTTAATCAAGTCATTATACTTGTGCTCTGCAATGCCATAAGACCACATGGTTTGCAGGAATTCTTTTTGTTTTCTCGTGTATCCACTACTTGGTATTTTCTTAGAAAAAGAGATAGACAACTGGTTGCTCTTAACATTCAAATGTAGATTAAAACCAGAGATACTGGATGAAGGGAGATACCCAACTGTAGGCTTATCCAATGTTAAGAAAACGGTTACTCTTCCTGTCTCCTAAGTGGGCGTGGTTAGCTCTCCCTCCAATCAGAGCCTGTTCTCCCTCACCCCACCTCCCCACCACCGTGTTGAACAGAGGCTCTGTGGATGTCTGTGTATGCGGATCGTGAAGCAGGTGGAATGAAAATACATTCTTCCTATTATTGCAGCCTATTGCTGCACAAAGCTTGGGCATTTTTTATTTATTACTAGCGGTAAATAACTGTTTGTAAGCTAACTGTGATTTTACCTAACTGTGATTGGTAAGATGTGTGGCTTGTGGAAAATGAACCCAATATTTACTTTAGTGACTAAAGGGCAAAAGAATAGACCATAAATTGTAATCACGTTCATATTCCTCATTGACGACAATACATTCAGAGCTGCCGCAAGTCTCCTACGGGGGCGTGGCGCTGACGTCACTGAATCAGGAAGTGAGCTGAGTTGGGTATCTCGCTTCATCCAATATCTCTGTTAAAACCCTGTGTCGAGTACTCTTGGAAAACGGGAAACAACAGGATACACAGCAAGGCCGTCCAGGCACTGCAAAAATATGGAAAACGAGGAAGGAAGTACTAAAAAGCCTTTATTGTAGTGGCTAAATCATTAAAAGAGCCAACATGTTTTGACCACTGTAGGTCCTTGTCAGGGCTTTCTCCCTCCTTTTCTATATTTTTTGAGTGCCTGGATTGCCTTCAGCCCCGTTTCCACCAAACACTTTTGGTATGGTACCTTTGGAACCAAAAGTAAACCTTCAGACATGGTACCTAGACCCTAGCATTTCCACTGCAAACCGTACCCTTAAATGTGGGCAGGGTTGTTGTCACACACTGCTCCGTCCAGCATTCACTGTATTTCCTCATCACTGGTGACACAGATGGAAGTCTGCACCTCGTTTATTGTCCAAAGAACGAGGCTGCACCCCGACATTTTCAGAACAAAATAGAACAGGCAGTGAGAGTCTCTCTCCATGGATATTTAAAAATAGTGTGTTTGTGCATTTAATCCTTCTCAGGCAAGCTCAGGGGTTTCATGTTGCTGTAGCACGACACTCCACAACGCTTTTTTTTTTTTTTTTTTTTTCCCCCCCCCAGAGTGAAGATTAGAATATATGGAGTTCACATAATCCGGCAGAAATTGATTACTAAAAGTGCATGTCATATAAAAACTGAAGTGATGGTCAAAGTTGTCATGGAATATTTAAGGTTTGTTGATTGATCCACGTTGTCACCTCATGCATTGAGTAACATTACAAGTAAATGTTCCACCTTAAAAGTCACCGGCCATTGGCCTAGTGAATAGTTATTTTTTCTCCGACTACAGCTGCTGCAAGAGGCAATAAAACATCCTTTCATTTCATAGTTACAGTTTACTGATAAAACTCTCCACGGTATGAGCAGTGGTTACATAAGCCTCAAAACCAGCCACAGCTCAGCCCTGAGCAGAGTGCCTGTTCACTGTTAATCAGTCAACAGACTGCAGTGTTCACAATTCCAACTTTTAGTACCACATCTGTGTGCTAGCCCAACAAAGGGGTGACCAAAAATGGGAAAGGTATGGAACGGTTCCATTGGTACCGTCCACAACTTTTCACTGTGGAAACAGGAAAAAAAGCAGCGTACTGAACTGAACTGTACTGCTCAGTGGAAATGGCTTTCTGTGCACTAGGTATTTTTTTGTTCTGTTCTAATTTGCTGCACCAAAATTTGTTTGGGATGTCCTTATAATGACAACTTGACATTAACCAGAATGACATTACCAGAAGATGTCTTTGTCATGACAACTTGACATTAAATTTGTTTGGGATGTCCTTATAATGACAACTTGACATTAACCAGGATGACATTACCAGAAGATGTCTTTGTCATAACAATAATAATCATTATGTCAACTTGTCATGCTTCTGGTAATGTCATCCTGGTTAATGTCAAGTTGTCATGATAAGGACATCCCAAAAAAAATTATGTCAAATTGTCATGACAAAGACATCTTTTGGTAATGTCATCCTGGTTAATGTCAAGTTGTCATTATAAGGACATCCCAAACAAATTTAATGTCAACTTGTCATGACAAAGACAACTTCTGGTAANGTCATTATAAGGACATCCCAAACAAATTTAATGTCAACTTGTCATGACAAAGACAACTTCTGGTAATGTCACTTTGATTAATGTCAAGTTGTCATAATCAAGACAACCCAAACAATGTCAACTTGTCATTACAAAAACCGAATGACACTTAATGACAGCAGTCATAAATGTTTATGACATGTACATAATGTTCATGACAGGTTCATGAGTCCTGTGTCATGTCATAGTTATGACAGTGTCATGTCACTCTTATGTAGAGACCTTCAAGTAAAGTGTTACCAAATATAATTGAGTCTCATCTCTGCCTCTCTATACTGTTTCATTCCTGCCATTGTTCTTTTAGCGGAAGACCACCAGCAGCTCAGCACCACAAGAGGTAGAGCAGAACAGCATCATGGGAAAGCTGGACGAGGGCCTGGATGACTTCTTCTCCAAGAAAGTCATTAAACTCAGCTTCAAGTGAGAGTCAGAATCTAACAATCCTTTAAATGATGATTTTGTGTTGAAAACAACTTTGTAAAATAATCCCACAAAATCAGTTTGATTAAAAGCAAAGTAAACTTGTGTGTCATCGGCATAAAAATATAACCAGGTGTTTTCTCACAATGTCAAAACTTGCAAGATTTTGTGGGCTTGTAAGAAGGGCTGCATCTATTGATTCTTTTAGTAATCAAGAATTCTATCGATTATTCTGGCATTTAATCGAGTAATCAGATAAGAAATATTGCATGTTTTTATTAGAGCACTTTAGCTTTATTTAAGGACAATATATAAAAGATAAAATAAGAAAAGTCTCTGAAATGAGAGAAATAAGCAACACATTTGTTTCCTTTTTTGAAAGTCAGAGCTGTCAACCAGTCATGCAAATGACCGATTTCATACACACTCATGCTACACTGCTATTTCTCATGCTGTCAGGAATAATCAGTGTTGTGAAGTAGCTCACTACAAGGTGCGACCTTACGAATTTAACAGCATTCTCAGTAGCGTGGTGATGACGTCACTACTTCCTGAGTCAAATAGCTTTTCAGTAGTGAAGTTAATTGATTGACCAAGTAGCACAGTAGCGTCCATAAAAGTTACAATCTCTTTTTCCCAGGAAAAACTCTGAAATGCAGCAAACTCTTTTCCTGTGGAAGTCTAGATAAAAGTAAGAATAGTAAAACTGAGGATCAATCAAGAGGAGAATGTCACATAATGGCAGGTCTGTCACTCAGTGTCATCGTGTCATCCCCACTCTCTCTCTGTCCACCCATTTCACCTTCTGTCCTGTCAATAAAGGCAAAAAGCCAATAAAAATAATCTTTAATAATTCATCACATGTAGCCCTACCTGCAAACCATCGTGGCAGTGATATTTCAATCTTCACTGTAACACGTCAGACAGATTATTGACGATTAATTTATAACTCTACAGCGGAAGTAACGTAAGCGGGTTGTCTAACAGAAATAAACATTTACAAGGAGCTCAGTGCGCTGTATAGTTGTACTGAATTTAACGAAGCCTAACTAAAGGCTTTTTTGTAATCGAATTATTCGAGTTACTCGAGGAATCATTTCAGCCCTACTTGTAAGGCAGAATTAAAGTATAATGTTTTCAAATTCTATATTTTTTTTAATCTTCTCTAGACTTCCCTCAGTGAGAAGTCCATCCTCCAGTCCGCAGGAAGGAGCAGATAAGAAACGTGAATCCAGGAAGAGCGGTTTCTTCAACCTCATCAAATCCCGGACGTCCCGCTCAGAGAAGAGCCACGGACCTGCCTCCATCACTCCACCCCAACCTGCTCCCTCCACCACTGCATCACCTTCTCCCTCTATTACACCAGTGACTGAGGAAACAACGCCGACATCAGCCACTCCGCCCCCAAAAAGCCCTGGCACTGCGGCGGAGCCTCATCAGGAGCTCCTCGGGGCTCAATCATTCGACCACACAGATTCTGAGGTGGAAGCTTCTCCGACCGTAGCTGAGCCCGCCGAGGAGGAGAAGGAGGATGACAATGTGGAGAAGGAGAATGTGCAGAATAAGGCGAACCAGGAGAAGAAGGAGAACCCCCACATTTTCCGCCATATTGGGGTCCCTGTGATGGGCATGGACCTGATGGCTGAGATGAAGGCCAGACAGGAGATGATGGCTGTAAGGAAGGTGGGTAGAGCCCATTGGCCAATATTTATAATAGTATTTTATACTTCATCAAGCCAATATGTTAGTACCAGTAGTGTGGCTGCCTCAATCATATTTCACACCAGTTTTAGAGGAAACTTCTGCATGATAAAAGCAAGCTGCCAAACATCAAGGCCTGATGATTGGCTGCCATTTTACTTCTGCAAGTAGCACTCACTGCAGCATGCTGGGCAATCTGTGAAACTGCACAGCTTGAGTTTATCGGTGGTACCACCATTGCCAACAAACACTGAGGAACTTTCCCCTCCCTCGTCCCTCTCCTAGAGACAGGACTTTGGGTTTTAAGCCCCCTTAACACCTTTATTTATGTGTCTTGTACACAGGTATGCCTCCCTGGTGTAGAGCTCATTTACTGGCAGAGGTCCACCAGACTTTTGCCTGCACTTGCTGCCAACTCTGTGATGCAGAGCTGGTTGAAAATTGGCAATGTTTCCCATAACTAGCCAAATCACTATTTTCCAAGCTAGAGTAGCTGTCCTATTTCACAGAGATGGACCCTCAGTGGTTGGACTGTCCCCCAACTCCCTGCCAGAACAGTAAAACTTTCTTGCATTAGCGGCGGGGTACATTCATGGGTGGGTTGCTAGCAGCAGTCTTGTCCCCTGCTGGGTCAGCAAACTTGGCTAGCAGTAGGCTAGAAGACAATCAGCGGGCCTTGACTCCAGGCAGGTCACTGTCAACCTGCGGAAGTGGTCTAAGAATTTCATTTCCAGTGACTGCATTTCAGTAATTGTGGTGCACATGACAATAAATAACAAACTTGAAAAAAAGCTCTCTGTCTCTCTGTTTTCAGTCTGAGTCATTACTGGACAAAGAGGAAGAAGATAAAGGTGAGTTTTGGTAATATCATGTCACCTCTGGACCTGTGTTGTGTTGATTTTTAAGCCATACTTAAAGGTTAAATGTTGCAGTTCAGTTATATCTTGACAATGTAAGTTTTGTATTAAGTTCACAGATCAAAACCCACAGTGATTACTCTGCATTTGTGTGATTAATAAGTTAGTAGTAGCTCCAGAATAAGACCAGAATGCAGCCTGTCATCACGACTCTTTGTGACTCCTAAACTGTCAATTTCCCATAGCCAAGTCAGACGTCCATCCTACTGTGCCCTGCTGTGAAGAGTCCAGACCAGAGCCGACTCCTAGGTCAAAACCTCCCAGCGTCACCCCGAAACCTCCTCCACCCCAGGCCACCAAACCTCCACTGGGGCCCCGCACCTCTGGGACCCTCAGTCCTGCCAGTCCAACCAGTCCGACCAGTCCCAGGCCGAACAGCACCTACATCTTTGGTAGGCAAAGACTGGGAGAAACAGGCATACAAAAGACTTGGTATCAAGAAACAAAAAACACTAGTAGCACAATTTTTGGTATCAGCTGTAGGGATCTGTTACTCCCCTGTCTAGCATAACAGGCTGTACTCTCCCTGGTCCCCAAACCAGATGGTTCACAGCAGGATTGCGCTTTGAAGTAAAGTTCTTTCACTGTGTCAAAAGTAACTCAGATAATCAATAAAGTGAAGCAAATATAACTCAGGGTGAACTACAGCCAAAGCCACAAACAAAACAACTATCTAACCCTGAACGTTCTGGCTAATTTTATTTGAAATAAAATACAAACAAAAAGACTTTTACTGAATTTGGCTCCCGACGATACATCAGAAAAACAGGAGAAAATATGCAAAATAAAATGGCCCACCCCTACAGCTTCAAAGTTAATTTAAAGTAACAAAGGTCAATTACTGGAATCAAATACTAAATAAACACAAAGTTACAAAAGCACTTTAACAGTCAGTAAGAAAATACTTCAGGTTTAACACAGAGAATAATAATAGCTTGGAAGCCGAACACACAGAACACCACTACTGTTAAACCAGAGTTACAGCTGTAACTACGGTTCTATGAATTCTTCCTGACCGCCAGATGGCTGTTTTAGCACTGGATATCTCCATCTCGTGTATGTGCAGGTCAGGTCATTATACCAACAAAGTCACCTGTGACCATGCAGTGGCGTAGGGCGTTCACCCCAGTATAAAACCCCCAGGTCATCACGCAGTCTGTTCCCACAGAATCTTCTTGCCCGGGTTCTGAGTGACAGACAGTTCTGGTTCAACCTTAGTTACAGCTGTAACTCTTGTTCTATTTCATTCTTCCTGACCGCCAGATGGCAGGGCCTTAGCACTGGATGACTTATACCAGCAAGGTCATGAGGAATGCTTACCACGCTAAGGGACAGAGACCGTTGACAGGACGACTGCTGCCACAGCTGTAGGGGCAGCAACATTGACACTAGCGAGAATAGAGAGTGAAGGTACATGAAGACCCCCGGGTTGCAGCAGCACATACGTCTTGCAGAAAGACCCCTTTCAATGCTGCCCAGGATGTGGACACCCTCCGAGTAGAGTGACACTTACTAGGGGCTGGCAGGCCTTGCAACCTGTAAGCATATAGAATCACATCCACAATCCAGTAGTAAACTCTCTGTCTTGATAGGGGTGTACCTTTCTTACAAAATAGCCATAGCAAACAAAAAGTTGGTCAGTCTTACATAAATTGGCAGGGGCCTCCACGTATGTATGTGGCATACACTTTCAAGGTTGATGCAGATCTGCCAACATCCAACAATGACTGCAGAAAAGTCAGAATGATGGCCACCGAATAGGTCTCTCCATCCTCACCATGTGTTTTCTACCACTGAGAAAAAAGCTTCCACCAATTTGCATAGAATGACCTAGTAGAGGGAGCCCTCCAACTTAACACAGAGTGCTCACAGAATGCCAGGAGTGGATAATGGCTTCCAATGGCCAGACACACAGCTGAAGGCGATCTGGATTTGGATGCCATATGCATCCCTCCAGCTGAGACAGAAGGTCCGGTCTCCTTGGGAGGTGCCAGGGCTCACCACTGAGTAGTTTCAGAAGCACTGGAAACCATGGTCTCTCCAGCCACTTGGGGGCCACTAGAAGCAATTTGTGGCCTCCGTGTTGGACTACATTGCCCAAATTAGGGAAATTGGAGGAAAGGCATACAACAGGCAGGTCAGCCAAGCATGAGCTAAGGCATCCTGCCCCAACGGACTGGTGGTCTCCCTTAGGGAGTACCAGAGGGGACAATGCATTGATGTTTCGCAAAAAACATCCAATTCTCCTCTACTATATCGGCTCCAAATCATTCTCACCACATCTGGGTGAAGTCTCCACTCTCCCTGGTTTGGCCCTTGGCATGACAGCACATCTGCTGCACTGTTCTGCAAACCTGGTAAATGTACAGCCCTGAGACTCAGGAAGTAGGGAAATGCCCGTAAGGTGCTGCTGTGCCACTCGCAGACCCTGCCTGGACTGAGTGCCCCCCTGGTGATTGACATGATATACTGCTGAGGTGCTGTTTGTCTGGATGAGAACAAGGCGGCCCCTTAGAATTGGGAGAAAATGTTGCAGTGCCAGATGTCAATCAGGAATCACTATGGATGCTGCTGTCACTATACCCAACAGCCTGAGAAGGACGCCATACTTACCAAGCTTGCCCCTCTGGAAGCAGCATATAAGTTGCAGAATAGCCTCCACCCTCTTTTTCTAAGAGGGCTGCTAATTCCTGGCTGAGGGCCAGGGATTTTGTGGGGGCTTCAACCACAGACATTCTGACCCCACAGAAAGCGGGTGGCTGGCATCGGAACTGTAGTGTGTATCCCTTGGACAGTGTGGGCTCCACCCAAACGTCTGTGGTCTCCCTCTCCCAGCAGCTGAGTTGCTGTTTGGAAAAGCATCCATCACTGGCCCCTCCGACTTCAGGTTTGACCCCCCTGGCTCCTAGAGCCTTTGGGGGGGCCACCACTGGGGGCTGGTCCTCTTGGCAGCTGGAAAGTTGGCCAGGAAGAAGCACGCCAGCGCAGATCATAGTGCCCAGTATTGCGAGAGGTTCTAGGCTCTCCACCTGGGTGAGCAGGTGGATGGAAGTGGCTGTGTCCAGAAGGCAAGGGACCCCTGTGTGCTGACACAAGACCCAGGCCCCGCTGCAGACCAGCAAGCCCCTACCTTGCCTGAGCTGCCTGTGCCTGCTGAGCGGCAGGCTCAAAGATCTGACCTTGAACCACTGGAAAGTGCAGAGGGTGCGACCTGGCAGCCAGCCAGTGTCACTGTTGACATAAACCTTCCAAGCTCCCTAGACATGAAGGCAAAGGTCTGAAGGGATGCATCCCTAAGAGTCTGGGCAGAAGAGTCTACACCAGATTCCTGCATGGTCTGAGACAAAGCCAGGATGAGGTGAGAAAGGGAGTTACCAAGAAGCCCCATGTATGCTGCCATATTATAACTCTTAGCAAGGAGATCTGTCATTCGACACTGTGGACAAGGACAAAGAGCATCAGGTCTAAGAGGCTCATCTGGGGAAACTTATCAAAGAGGCAATGGTAGGCCCAATTGGGTCCATGCAGTTTAACCCATAGCTACCTGCCTCCTGCATGGCAGCCAAGTTCCTGCAATCACTGGTGTGATGAGAAAACAGTTTAGGGGCTGCCCAACACTTATGGAACTCCTCAATATAAGGTTTAGAAGGAGGAACCGAGAAGTAGGTTTGGGTACCGAAACTCGGTACTTTTTGTACTTGGTAACCGATTCACGTCGGTACTACCGAGTACCGATTCACTTAAAATGAAACGGTGCCAAATTTCGTACCTGAGGCGGAGGCGGAGCGAGAGCAAGAGCGCATGACTCGCACCTCAGACTCAGCAACAATGGTGACAAAAACAATGTGCAGACAAAAGTTAATGTGCAGCACTGTTCCTAAATGTTCCTAAATGCCCAAACGACGCATAGTGCGTCCAAACTCACACCTGTTCTTCTCTGTGGATTTTCTCCGTGATCGTGCGTCCTAGCAAGAAGCCACGCATATCAGCGGAAACAGCGTAGCTGTAGCTTTCCGACAAGGCCAAGCACTTGTCGGTAATCCAATGTTTTCACAGCGAAAAAAAATTATAAAATTACAATAAAATTATGTTTAACAGAGCTTTCATACAGCTTTGCACACACATTACTCTTGGATGGATTATTCGCGAATGCAGGCTCGCACAGAAATGCCACGCATATCACATGAAAGCGCAGGACCACACAAATCATTGTGCTGTCATCCCATCACGCTATAAATACAGATTAATTGTCTACAAAATAAAAACCTGACAAATTTCTTTACAACCCATTATACTGATCTTGTTATCAGGCACTTCATATAGTGAGGAATATCGTATCTTACCACGTCTTAGGCTTGTGTGTGTTTCTCCCTGTCTGTCCACATTTGTAGTCCGGCTTTCAAGATGCAAATATCTCCATATTGTCCAGTTGACACTCCATCAAACTTTGTATGACAAGACCAGCCACTTCACCTTTGCGCACCCAGATAAGTGCAGCCTAATGCATGCTGACAGGGCCGTAGTCACCATATACATTGAGGGGGACATGTGCCCCCCCACCAATGCCCAAAATGTCTCCCCAATATATAACTGAAACTGAAAAACAAATATTATATTGGAGGACATCATTGCACTTGGTTGACTATTTTTCTATGATCTTAGATGTAAATATTGCATGTTTCTTTCAGATAAAACACATTTTTGACTTGTAAATGAGTCAATGGAATTTCTTGCAATAATGAAAAAATACTGGCAATCATGTCCGCCTGGCACAAACCACATGTTTTGGACAACTGTGAAGTGATAGAATGTCCCAGCATCATGGTTCTTATATTGCCAGATTCCAGAGAGTCTCCCCTCTTCATATATGGTAGAATATGTCAACTTCCAACTTGCTATGGTGAGATACATGTAAAAATGTAAGAATTTAGGCACACAGATTTGTTTTTTTCATTGATATAAAAATTAATATAAAATACAGGCACATAGAAGAACATGAAATGATCTGGTTAGCCCAGATTGTCCTGAAAAAAAACAAGATATAGCATGTGTATGTAGCCTTTATAATGACTGTGATATGAGCTTAAAAGTAAAGGCAGTGAAAATACCCCAAAAAGGCCTAGGGTCCATAGGGTTAAAAAGTACCGAAATAAGGTACCGTTTGGTACCGGTACCGAATTCCAGATACCAGTACCGGTACCGTATCGGTTCAATTATGAACGGTACCCAACCCTACCGAGAAGGCAGAGGGCTGTGGCGTCTGCCTGAAAAAAGCACTCAAAGAAGCCGCTGCCACCAGAGCTTCATCCAGCCCCAGGCGTGCTAAAACCATCCTGATAGCTGGCTGCATTGTGGCTAGAGGTCAACACACCGATAGGATGTTTTCCAAACTATCTTTATTGGTGAAAAAAGGCTCTGATAGTTGCCGATGGTTGCAAAGTTTTTTTCCCCTGCAGCGCAACAAGCTGTTTCCTCTCCTCCCCCACTCTCTCTCTCTCTCTCTGAGAGAGGGGAGGGGCTGCGAGAGAGCAAGAGTGAGACGGCAGGCGCAGCGTGTGCAGATGCTGCAGGGGAAAGGAGGCTTGAGGAGTCCACCAGGAGTCTGTACGACATCTTTTGTGATTTGTGATATTGGGCTTTATAAATAAAATTGATTGAAAATTGATTGATTGAGATAAGCGGTAAGCGTCATTGCAAGTGCAATAAAACGTTCACGAGTTAAAAGGCCAAAAAACATAATCTCCTTGTCGGAGGTCATAAGTACCACTTGTTCAACGAGCATAAATGTGCATCATGTTTCAGCATAAACAGCAACATTTCCCTGTGCATGTTTTTTATGACCAGTGACCACAGCGTGCTTGTTAAGTAAACTAACAGCTTGTTAAGAATACGCTAAAATGAAAGCTGTCTGTGTGTAGTCTGTTTATCTTAGTTTGCCACAAATCTTAAAATTTGGCAAATTCTTGTAAACTTTAGCTACTGGCTGTGCTCTTTAGAAACTACGGTTATATTATTTGGCGCTACGGGCGCTTCATATCCAGGTCAATACACACACTTGTGAGTAAAGCATGTAAGAGGAGAGGAGAGGGCTCCGTCTTATCTCTTCATAAACTAAAGTTATATTATTTTGCCCGACAGACGCTTCATATAATAACATACCAATATACTATTTATCGTGTTATGTCATCGTGTCATTTCTGTCTCTACAATTCTCCTCTGCTCTCTGTATCATAGTTGCGAGAAGATAGAAGGACCACATTGTGTGATGATGTGGGGGTTTTATACTGGAGTGAATGCCCTACGTCATTGCATGGTCACAGGTGACTTTGTTGGTATAATGACTCAACTCGCACATACACGAGATGGAGATATCCAGTGCAAAAGCACCGCCATCTGGCACTCAGGAAGAATGAAATAGAACTGCTGTCAACCAGCCCGTTGGAAACCCTAGGATTTTAAATTGCAATTCATGATTGAGAAGCCAATCAGCAGCTTACACCCCCAGACGGAACCCACAACTCCAGCCAATCAGGGTGATACACCTGTAGTTAATATCATTAGATTGTTTTTATACTGCAGATAAAGTATTCGTGTTAAAATTACGGTTCCACTTGAGTCCGTCGTGTGATCGGAAAAAAGGCCTCTCCAAACCAAGCTCCCAGGCTGAATTTCAACCCCAGCCCGCCCCTGCCTACAAGGCGGAAAATTGGGCGCCTCGGATCAACTCGCCATTCCGCCTCTGTGTGTATAAATGCTTGCAGCTGGCCAGCAAAACAGCCCAACATTCGCGGAAAATCTGGCAGTATAAAAGGGGCTATAGAAAGGACTCAGAAAAATACGGTCAGAGCCACTACAGGATCAGACAGACATGAGAAGTTATTTAGTGAAAATATCTTTATTACTTATATCTTTATTATTATTGGTACATGGTAGTTAAATTCCTTTATACGTGTATTTATACTACGAATCAGTTAATTTTTTCTTTGTTTTTATTGCTCTCTCTCTCAGATGACTCTGCTGAGGCACCAGCAGGAAGCTCATCTGCCAAAGCACCACTTCCTGCTCCTCGCCTGAAGAGGGTGCCATCAGAGCAGGAGCAAGAGAGCACCAGCAGCAACCCTGCAGGACCCCTGTCTCCACTAGACGGTTGGTGTCTCCTTGTAAACTAGGCAACAGAAACAAGGGATTGATATTTGGTATAAGTAATAATTTGATTAAGAACAAATAACACTGACAATTTTGATAGATGGACTAGTAACCACAGTAGTCTGATATTAGTCATATTTTATTAAAACGTATTATATTTTGTTACGTCCTGGTGGCCTAGTGTTTAAGATGCACACCAAACAGTATGAACTCAGTGTGTCATTTTGTCAGGTGTCCTTAGTTGCATCTCTACTGTCACTGTCAAATAAAGGCAGAATGCTTATTAATTATCTAAACTTTTAGTTTAAAAATATGTATAATGAAGAATTAACTTCAATTCAAGGCTTAATACCTCAGCTGGCGGCTTAAAGGCGAGACATCTCTGTCTCCCCATTCTGCAGTTGTACCTTTTATACAGAACAGCCAGGCGGAATAACGCTGTGACATTCCCACAGTCAGGATGTGCCTGCTGTAAAGGGTAAATATAATCATAGAAGGCTGAAAATCACAGGACATGTCTGTTCTGATTATACAAGTCAGCAGTGTAAAGCTCAAGCATGTGGGAGCCTCCTTTCATATTTAATAGAGGTGAGAACCGTATCTAAGTACAGCTGTCAAGATGCCCTCCGCCACAGGCCTTTGCCACCTTGGTCTCGAAAAAACCCAGGGAAACCCTGACAGCTGGAACAGGTGTGGAAGGTGAAAGTTGACATAGTCCCCGTGGTAGAAGGATCACTCAGGGCAGTGACCCCCAAACTGGGAGAGTGGCTACGGCAGATTCCAGGAACAACATCTGAAACCTCAGTCCAGAAGTGAGCAGTCTTAAGAACAGCTAAGATACTGCGCTGAACCCTCAAACTCCCAGGCCTCTGGTAGAGGACCCGAGCTTGAGGATGATACAGATACCACTCTAAGAGGGTGAGAGGGTGAATATTATTTTATTTTGTTTTATTTTTTAATCCCTCGCTCGGAATTGCAACATCTATCACCACTGCCTTCTTCAGTTGTTTGTCCATCAACACAATGTCTGGTTGGTTCGCCATCACCAGTTTGTCAGTCTGGATCTGGAAGTCCCACAGGATCTTAGCTCAGTCATTCTCCTACCCCTTAGAAGGTGTCTTCCACTGTGACCTTGAGACTTCCAGCTCATAGTCTGTGCAGATGTTCCTGTACACTATGCCAGCCACTTGATTATGGCGTTCCATGTACACTCTTCCTGCCTGCATCTTACACCCTGCTTTTTGTGCTGAACTGTCTCCGGAGCATCTTTCTACAGCCTACACCTGGGGTCCTGTCTGGTATGGAGGATCCCTGCTTCTATTGATCTGGTACTAAGAAGCCTGTTCCTGTGCTGCCATGATTAGTGCTTCTGTGCTGTCTTTTAGTCCAGCCTTTTCCAGCCACTGGTAGGATTTCTTGATGTCGGCCGCTTCTTCAACCTGTTGGTGGTACATGCCATGCAGGGGATGGTCCTTCTATGATGGTTCATCCCCTCTCCTGCATTCTCGGGTTTCTGCTTCCTGAGGTATTAACTTAGCAGCTCATCTTTTGGGGCCACTTCTTGATGTACAGAGATTTACCAATACCACTTTTTCCTTCCCGATAGCGATTCCAATCCCGAACCTTAGGTATCTGCCAATAGGCTACAGCAGAATGTAGGGCTTGTATTAAAAAACACAAGAATTTTCACCAGATGACTTAAAGTAAGAAAATTAAAAAATAGTGGCGGGGCTTTTACTCACCACAACTGCAGAGGCTCTTCATTTGAAACAGACTACATTATAGACGATCCGTTATTTATTAATCTCTCTGTGTTTTTATATTTTTACTTTATATCCCTCCATTTTCTAAATAGGCTTTTATTGTGAAACATTTGTAGGAACTTGGTTGTGGAGGATACAGTAGCTTGTATGTTTACATACAGCACTTCAAATGGAGCTCCTGCCGTCTGCTGGCGCTTTTTACGTTACTACAACAACGTTTCGGCTGGCACATGAACAGGCACAAGAATAACCTGATGACATCGTGAAAGACAACCAGGGATAATTGGTGTGAACCATTGTGTAGTGTGTCATGTCTGTCGGCCAAGTCACTGCACGGTTTTATGACTCCACAATCGTGTAATGTGACATAGTGACTTTCAGAATGGGCAGAAAAGTCGTGTAGTGTGAACCAGGCATAAATCCTCCTCATTTTCAGTGTGTGACTGCAGCATGTGCATGAGAGGGGGAGGGGCTGCTGCATGCTCAGAGAGGCAAGCGACAGAGAGAGAGAGAGAGAGAGAGGCAAGCGGAAAGGAGCAACAAGCGGAGCTTCAGAGCTGCTTTTCTGAAGCAGCTCTGAATCGGTATCGGTAACAAAAGTTGATGAGGGACATAACAGATTAACAGAGAAGAATCTTTCTAATAAATGAAGGAAGTTTTTTAATTCCTTTTTTCGCTCAGATTTTTAACTCAATGGTGAATTAGAAAACAAATAAGATATAAAACTTGGGAGTGATACACTTGAGTTCACTCTCTTAGCTGTCTTCCCTCTGGGATGAAACTCCAGTGATGTTCTGATCTATCAGATCAGTCTGATCAGCTGCAGCGCTCCCCTGTCCAATCAACTCCTCTGAGCTCATTATTGAATTGGGACGTCCTTCAAGATGGTGGGTGTCAGTCATTTTCTGGGTGAAGTGATTGAGGATAGAGGAGTCCAGGAGGGATATTGCGATGAATCCAGTGTAAAAGGGGCTACTGAAGACCTGAAAATGCTGACCAATCAGAGCAGACTCTTTTTCAGGAGTGGCGCTAAAATTGAATGTCTCAGACTGAGGGTGAATACAGATGTTTCAGCACAGACCATATGAGGAAAATAAAGTGCGTTTTGAACATTAATGCATGTTCATACATGTTCTAGTAGAAAACCAAAATACAAGTATGAACCTGAAAATGAGCTGAATAGGTCCCTTTAATTATTGGGCCTGCCGTTATTATAGGCCACTGATCTGCCTTCTTTTATATGCGACTGTTTGTTGTATGTGAATTCTGAAAATGGTGGTCATGCTCTAACTCTGTAGTATGTTTCTACTCTGTTTTTTGATATGCATTATTTCGCCCATTTTAGGTACAAAGTATATACTTATCAAGCACCCACAACATTTAAGGGTGGAAAGAGAAATGAAAAAAGCAACGGCAGAGAATTACTGAAGTAATAAACTGTGGAGAAGATAGATGACAAACAGACTTGGTTCCTGGGATACATCCCTTTTTTTCATGTTCTCTTAATCACGATGAAGGTTGCATGACTCAGCGCTCCATGCGAGCCGGAGCATAGCTGAAAATAAAACATTCAATTTAACTTTATTTTTAATTTAATGAATGCTCTCAAGGCCATATTTGACGCCTCCACACAGCACACACAGGACATCTGAAGCAAAGGTCCTAGTCTGTACTTGACATGTCCAAGTGTCAGTGTGTGATTTTGTAGTTGAACTCTTGAACTGTGTAATTAACTTTCACAGGAACTCAGTGGTTTTCCCTAAAACAGCTTTTCTTCTGTGTTATCGAAAAGGCGAGATGTCTTTTGTGATTGTTGTGTAAACAGAGGAAAAAGGTCTGTAGGCTATCTCAAATTATTTGTTCTGGATTTACCCATTTGAAATTGTAATGCTAAATGTTTAATTGGCTTTATTTTTTCATTGTTCACAAATTCAGATCCAAAAATTTAAGTCAAACAATTTCAAAAATAAATTCAGGTATAAAAATTCAAATTTCAGAGTCAAATTTGATTAGTCAAAACATTCAGTCTCGTTTGCCTATCCTGTCCTGGGTAGCCTGGATGTTGCTATTTGAACTTTTTCAACTAGAATTTTTAGATCTTTAAAAAAAAATAGAATTTTAAGTTGAACAAATTATTGTTTTGTTTTTTTTTTAATCTGAATTTTTTAACATTGGACAAAAAGGTTCAGCTTTTAATAACACAAATCAGGATTTTCTACATTTTAATTTCAAAGAGGTGAATTCAGAACAAACAAGTTCAAACACAGTTTTAAGCAACATATTTCAATTCTATAAATTGAGTGGTGTTTGAATTGTAATGGGACATATTAAGTGGCTGTTAAAATTCAAATACTGATGCTCATTTGCTTCCGTACGTACTTAATATTTTTGTATGTATTTAAGTAAAAAGATCATAGAGAAATAGGGATAAACATTAAAACCACACAAAAATGAACATCAAGAGTGTATTTCCAAACCATTCTGAATCCATTTTGGCTAAAATAAGTAGATGATGTTATGATATTATTTCACCAGTTTTTATAACTGTAATCATTTTCTGTGGAGGACAAAAGCTGCCAAAATCAAAAATATTTGACTCAATAAATAAATTAATATGCCATTTAATGTACCAGAAATAATAATACATAGATGAAGGTATTTAGTATATATTAATATGTGACATAAAGTGATATTTTTGTATTAATTTGCTAATTTATTTATTTCCCTTTATTTATTCATTAATTTTTTGCATTATTTATTTTAAATCTATTTATTCATTTTTAAACTTATTCGCTTTTTTTAACTAATGTTTGCATTTGTATTTTCTGTTTATTTTAATTATTGAGTAATTAATTAATCATTTTAATTATTATTACAATCAATATTAATTATGATTAATTCATAATAATTAAATTTCCTCATACCATTATTTTATCTGAAAACTGCTGACAATTTTTGGGGAGGAAGCAAGCTGCCAAAATCAAACATATGTGACTCAATAAATAACTTGATATGCCATTAAATATACCAAAAATAATATTTAAAATGAATGTAGGCATTAAGACCAGCAGCCGCCACTGATCCTCTTTATACATATCTGACGTTGGTGTTAGTTGTATTACCTACTCTTATTCTCAGGTTCACATTAAGGAACAAGCCAGTGACTCAGAGGAGACAAACTGAAATAAGTTTACAGTATCTCACATAAGTGAGTACACCCCTCCCATTTTTGGAAATATTTTATTATATCTTGTTATGGGACAACAGTATAGAAATGACACTTTGATATAACTTAAAGTAGTCAGTGTACAGCTTGTATAGTAGTATAGATTTACCTTCCTCTGAAAATTACTCAAAACACAGCCATCAACATGTAAACAGCTGGCAACATAAGTGAGTACACCCCACAGTGAACATGTCCAAATTGTGCCTAAAGTGTCAATATTTTGTGTGCCAACCATTATTATCTAGCACTGCCTTAACCCTTTTGGGCATGGAATTCACCAGAGCTCACAGGTTGCTTCAGGAATCCTCTCCCACTCCTCCATGATGACATCATGGAGCAGATGGATGTGAAGACACCTTGCACTACCCTACCTACAGCTTGAGGATGCCCCACAGGTGCACAGGTGAGTTTAGGGCTGGATACATACTTGGCCAGTCCATCACCTTTACCTTCAGCTTCCTCAGCAAGGCAGTTGTCATCTACTAGGTGTGTTATGGGTCATTATCATGTTGGAAAACTGAATTGCAGCTCAGTTTCCGAAGAGGGGCGATCATGCTCTGCTTGGAATTCATGTTTCACTAAATGAACCGAGCTCCCCAGAGCCGACAGCACTCATGCAGCCCCAAACCATGATGCTGCCACCACTATACTTGACTGTAGACAAGGGACAGTTGTCTTGGTGCTCTTTCAGCATGTGTGGCACCTTGGTGAAGAGTGCTGCCGGCTCTGGGGAGCTCGGTTCATTTAGTGAAACATGAATTCCAAGCAGAGCATGATCGCTCCTCTTCGGAAACTGAGCCGCAATGCAGTTTTCCAACATGATAATGACCCAAAACACACCTAGTAGATGACAACTGCCTTGCTGAGGAAGCTGAAGGTAAAGGTGATGGACTGGCCATGTATGTATCCAGCCCTAAACTCACCTGTGCACCTGTGGGGCATCCTCAAGCTGTAGGTGGGGTAGTGCAAGGTGTCTTCACATCCATCTGCTCCATGATGTCATCATGGAGGAGTGGGAGAGGATTCCTGAAGCAACCTGTGAGCTCTGGTGAATTCCATGCCCAAAAGGGTTAAGGCAGTGCTAGATAATAATGGTTGGCACACAAAATATTGACACTTTAGGCACAATTTGGACATGTTCACTGTGGGGTGTACTCACTTATGTTGCCAGCTGTTTAGATGTTGATGGCTGTGTTCTGAGTAATTTTCAGAGGAAGGTAAATCCATACTACTATACAAGCTGTACACTGACTACTTTAAGTTAAAGTGTCATTTCTATACTGTTGTCCCATGAAAAGATATAATAAAATATTTCCAAAAATGGGAGGGGTGTATTCACTTATGTGAGATACTGTATGTGTTGAATTAAATATTTCTTAAGAATGTAGACAAATTATTTTTTTGTTTCTTCTTTGCCTGCAGTTGAGCTTCTGGGGGATGGTGATGCATTCGAGCCACCCAGTCCGATGGTTGAAGCGGGCCTCGGTGGCAGACAGTGGTCGTCTCTAAAGAGTTCAGCCAGTCCTCCTACTGCAACGGAGGACAGCCGAGAGCGAGCCAAGTCCCTCCCTGCAAACGGTTCGAGTAATCACAGTCTTGTCCATTTAATAACTCCTGTTTCAGTTTCTGCATGGTTTCCTAAATGTAGGAAGAATTACATCATAGATTGTTTGCTGTGTTTGTTTGTTTGTTGTGTTTGCTGCATTTACACCTGCCCAAACAAACCACACCAAGGAGGAAAACACTTCAAGGTTTGAATCAGATGCAGGTGTGAAAAGCCCCAAGGCTCTGTTTTTAATTTTCTTTTGATGGTCCTACTTTAATTTCCAGGTCAGATAAGAAAACATCTTTGATTGTTTTAGTCCACTTTTTTCCTTTTTTCTCTTTCTTCATCTGTATCTTGTCTCTCTCTCTGTTCAGTGAATCCTCCATCTGTGGCATGCACAGATCTCAGTCCAGCTGAGGAGGACCTTCCATCTCCAGCCACTCTCAAGTCTGATAACAAATCAGAGGATGAGTCCGACGACGCCCTTCCAGCCTGATGATGTTAACAGTCTCGAAATCCTGCTCCACTGTCGACCAGGAGCTCAATCACATACAGACAAAGTCAGAGACAGTGGACGATGATTTAATCATATATTTACAATTCCAGGGGAGGCACATATAAAGGGGGCATTTCAGTATTTTGCACGTCCTGCTGTTATCAGAGAAGTTTCCTGACTTCGGAACAGTCCAGGCTGTCGGGCCAAATGGACAAAACAACAGCTCCATTAGTGTCTCTGTCAACATCTCTAATAGGACTATAAAGAGCTGAGCAGATGGGTTTTATCTGCTGCAGAGACAATCTGCAGTTGTTTAGATAACCAGGTCCAGCTATAAAAAGCTCAGTTAGTCCAAAGCACTGAGGAGAAGGAGTCTGACTGTCTGAACAGGTCCAGACTGAAGCAGTTTGGTTTTACTGTATTTCTGTTCTGCAGGTAAACTGTTGGTGGTAAGACAGCAGATGAGACTCGAAATATGAACAAGTCCCAAAGATTCTTTTGTACCCTGCAGACATTCACTCCTTTTCTTAAAACAGTAAACTGTTAGAAATGTTAGAAAATGCCCAAATTAGGAGCAGCTGGAAGAGAAACAACAAGAAAGTGTCAAAAGCCAAAGAATATTTACTCTCTGCTGCTAGAGCCAAAGATTAAATCTTTTTTTTTTTTTTAATATCTCAAAAGCTCAAAGTGACGTTGAGTCTTATTCAACTTAAACAAATGAGTCAGTTTTTTGTTTTACCAAAACCGTATTTTAATTTTAGTAGAACGTCCATCTTGTTCATGACTGCTAATGATGCTTATGATGCCAACTTGACTGGTGAAAAATTGCTGAAGGTTTTATTTAATACCAAGGACTGTGGCAAATTGGCTGTATGTAGAAAAAAAATCCTGATATCCTAAAAAGCCATATCTTGGATGTTATTATATATAATTGCAGGATTTATTTGTAACATTCTTTGTGTCATCTTTGTCGAGTTGCCTCTTAAGTAGCTTTTAAATCCCACCTCAAGGTCATCATCAGCGAATGAAGTTTGCTCAGTTGTCCAAATAATGACCTGATATACAGTATACATACGTATCTATATAAAACCACCTGTTATGTAGCAAAGACCAGTCTGTATCTGCTGAAGATGACGATTGCAGAGGTGGCTGAAAGCTCAGGAAAAAGCAGGGAATGCTCAGTTCAGACCAAAGATTCGCAACAAGACGAACTGAAACAGTGATTTGCAATGCATCATTTTGCAATGTTCGAAAAACTTGCCAGTTCACACCAATGCAACTAGATGAGATGGTGTATTATCTCTATGCAGCAACTCTCTGTACTTTAGTTCTGATTTGCAGCTTTTCAGGCTTATTTTGTGGCTAAATATAATTTGTAGCTTCTTAAAATATGAATGAGGACAGTGCTAGTGAGATACTGGCTGCAGCTGCATTTGTAGCAGTGATGAAACGGCGAAAAACAGAATCAAAACCAGCATCAGATGGACTGTATTTATAATAAATACACCACAATAATATGAATAAACAGCGCCAATTAATCAGTCACTGAGAATGTGTGTATGTGAGGGGGCATAAGCACATACAGCAAACAGCAGCAGCGACCCACCATCTGACACCGGCACACCATGAGGACCGAAACAGTGGGCTCGGCAGGGACGGAGCACCTGTCGCAGCAAGCAAACACCTTGTCTGCTATCATTGTGACTTGACCAGCGGACTTCACTACAAGCTGACTGGCTGTTGAAACAGATGACTTTCTCTAAAACCAGCTGCCAGGGATTTGACCAGCCAGCTTGATTCAAGCTCAGACTGGCCAGCTCACACTGCTGAAACTTTTCTCTGCAATGTTGTAAAGCAGTTTTGTCTCATCGCAAATCTTTGGTCTGAACTTGGCTTAACTTGGCCATGAGTTAAGATTATATTGTCAAACTACTATTTCCAAAACAAAGAAGCTTAATAACAAAGTATAGTATCAGTTCTGCAGACATTTCACACTGTAAAGAATATTTAACTGAGATTTTTACAGTGAAAATTCAGAGCTGCAGAAAAACAACTCTTCTGGTTGAGTTAATGCTGCGTTCATATCATGTCAGAGTTACCGTGATTTGTAAATACAGTTCCTGACGTGTAAATACTGTTCATGGCAACATCCAAGTTCACAAAAAAGTCAGGAGAATTTTCTGAGAGATCCCATATAAGGCTGGGTGATATGGAGAAAATCAAGTATGACATTTTTGACTAAATACCTTGATGTAGAGACTGCAGGGTTGACTATTGGTTCTTTAACAAAATATTTACATAATGAGATTTTTGATAAACAATCAGTAATGTGGATATAATTAGGGATGTCCCGATCCAGCATTTTCACTTCTGATCCGATATCGATATTACAGCCTTGAGTTTTGGCCGATACCGATCCGATCCAAGCACGTATTATACATATTCACTTATTTTGTTGTCAGTCATGTTAGAAAAGGTTTGATCAAGCAATATTACTCTATCAAGAACAACTACTTAATCAGGTTAGTTAGAATGATCCACAACAGTTGGTATGAGAAACTGACCTGTTTATTGTTAACAGGGTTAAATAAACAAACTTTAAACTTGAACATTAACATTAAATGAAAAATATAGCTGGTTTGCTTTGGCTGCTTTGGCCCCTTAATAAATAGAAAATAGATCAACACAAGAAATCTTTAAAATGTCTAACAATGGAATTAAAATAGCAGCAAGACTCCACACACTTGTGCTTTGCTCCCCTAATAAATAAAAAAAAGATTAACACCACAAGACATTGTTGACATTGTTAACAAACAATGCAGCCTTTCCTTTTCAGTTATTTTAGTAGTATTTTAGTAGTGTTTTTGTAGTCCATCCATGGCTCCAATTTCACTAATTGTGCCCAAAACAGTGCCATCAGTGCTCTTTACTTAAACAGTAAGAGTGTAAACCAAATAAAAATATCACTCTCAAAAAACCAGAGCAGAAAACAAATAGTCAGTTAACTAAATTGACTGCTACTCTTCCTATCCTCCCTGTGTGTCTGCCGTCTGCATGCTGGCCTGGTGGATTGATAGTAAGAGCTGGAGCAGATCACTGGAATGGACTGCTTGAATCGCGGAGCGCTGGGCTGGCCGGAAAACCTGGATCGGAGTTCTTGGATTGGCATTTTTCCATGCAGTCCGATCCGATGCCGATGCCCGTTTTTTGCTAGTATTGGCGGCCGATTCGGATCGGGACATCCCTAGATATAATATCTCAGTTAGTAAATGTAGCTAGAACATTCCAACACAATCACACAAAAATATGTTGCCATTGTACGTTTCTGCAAACTGCAGATACATTACATTCATACATTACTGTTTAGCAGATACTTTCAAATTCAATGTTTCTTCATGTTTCAGCAGCGATGTGGTTAACATGTGGTTAGTTTTAGGCACAAAAAACAGTTATGGTTAGGACAGAATAATGATTTGGCTTGAATTACCCGCTTTCCCTACAAACACCTACAGGTCACTAAGACACCACGTTTGGTGGACACTGGGAATGCCTGTTGGTCTTGAACAGTGGTCTGCAGCTTGGCAGGCTTTTCGCCTTGGTGTCACACTATCCACCATCCCCTCCACCTCCCGATGACTAAGTCAGCTCATATACTCTGTCATTTTAGAAACTTTGATATGATAGTCTGAAATGTACAAATGTAACATATCTGTGCTTTGCCAACACATTCTCACTCCGCCTTTGTCACACATTGACATTTGGTTATGGACTTTCCACGTCCAGATATGACGTGCAAGGTACCCTAGGTGCATTGGTTGTTGATATTCTGGGGCGCTGTGTCGCCTTCAGCCTGTTACATGCATTGTCTGTCTTCTAAATACACATCTGTTTTCACAGGAAATTTACCATTTACATACAGTCCCTTTCAAAATTCATACTACGCTGGTATAATACTGCAAATTGATTTTTTTCCTTCAACAACAAACGCACCATGGTTACGTTTGCCAACACAAGCATGTGGATGGGTTTTGGGCAACAAAGGCACATGGTTGGGTTTAGGACAAAAGAACAGGGTTTGGCTTGAAAGTCAGTGGTTGTTGTACCCATTTACTACCCCCTCTGCCCACCCTACTCTGACTTGCGCCGCCTTAACTTTCGTTATTGTTCCACCGTGTCTCCCCTTGACACCGCTGAACATGAGTCATTTAGCCCAAATCTAATGGATATGGTGCTATAGTTTCAATGCACTGTGTCTTTAAATACTCTGTTTAAAAAGAAATTAAAGTACAACTCAGCATCATTCAGCTATCTTGAGTTGCCCAGTGATATGAACATGTACGAGCTGTGAACATGGGAACATTCTCCATAGCTGCCATCCATCCTCCATGATGTGAACACAGTAGAGAGCTCAGTGGGCAGAGACCATAGACTGCACATAAAGGTGGACAATACGCCTCACTTACATCCATCGGACATGAAGCCAAATATTCCTGGATTCGACTGTTGCCATCTTTCGCTCCAACATTTGGAGCCAGAGTCTGTGCTGTGCTAACATGGAGGGGGTGGGGTTTGTGGCTCCTCTGACTGAGTTTTAATTTAACAGTGAAGTTGTTTCCAACAAACTCTAAATCCTGCAATAGAATGCTGTAGTTTTCTCTCCACAGAAGGCATTTTACCTTGTCATCACCTTTATTTTCTTGTTATCACGCCTCAAAATGTTTATATAAACATAACTGTGTGTTGCCTCTGATTCATATTTAAAGGGGTAGTTCGGATTTTTTGAGTGTAGGAGGTATTTATCTGCAGTCATTGAATTGCCTCCAGTAGATGGTGGTCAGTGTATTCCAGTTTTGGAGAAGCAGGTTTAAGTCTGACATGGAAGCTAAGCAATTTACTGCTGTGGTCGGCAACAAAACATATTTTGGCCACTTTAAAAAATCCCACCTAAAAAGATGATTATCAGTTTAAGTTTACGCTTTATTGAGATTGTTTTCACTGCCTTAAGTTACTGTCAGACAGTGATTTCCAGCAGGAAAATGAAGCTGTTATATCTCTCTCCAGACTCCGTTGAGAACACAGTGATTTAACACTGCTGAGCACAGGAGCTGCTGGGCTACTGCTGCCTCACATAATATGTTTTTGGCTATAACTAAAGAATTCCTATGCTGATAATGTAATGTGAATTTCACACAAATGTTAAATAGGATAAAATAATGAAATGATGACATTTCATATCCAAAAAGTCAAAGGTCAGCTTCACAGTGACATTCATAATGTTCTGCATAAAACACTTTTCCGGCCATTACGCAACGTTATATCTCAGGAACAGGAGGGGAGACATTTAGTCAGATACTGAATTGGTGACACTAATCTTCGTATAGATCTGCGTGTGAAGCATCTATGTTTTCACAGACATGGATGTAGACTTAAAGAGGAACTTGACTGCTGTGCGGAGGCATACAACCACAGGGTAGTAATTCTATTTTTTGTGTGTGTGTTATTGTGTGACTTTGGCGTTTAAAGTAGTTAGTTCAGATTCTCCAAAGTCACACAATAGCACAAACTAACTGATAGAGGCAGCTGTAGACCAGCAGCTGTTCAGTGGTCAGTGAGCCCCAAATTATTGTTTTGTCAGTGGAGTCTGGTGGCTTTGAACAGCCATTAGAACAGGCTGCCTGACAGAAAATTAAAGCAGTAAAAATACCCTCAATATAGCACACACAGTTACATCGGTTGCAGATTTTTTTTCAGGTGGCTAAAGTACTTTTTGCTGCTGACCTCTCCACAGCAGTGTATTGCTTAGTTTCTATGTCAAACTCAAGCCTGCTTCTCCAAACTTGGGGTCTGCTGACTGCCAGCTACTGTAGGTAATGCTTTACATTGACTACGGGTAAGTACCTCATACAACCTTACTTCAAAAAATCAAAACTATCGCTTTAACATCAACACTGCTGCTGTAGGCTCACTATAACACACAGTTTATTACTGCTGCACTTACTGATATGTATCAGTGTAAATATGGAATAATATACCTGTGTGTTTATGGTTCTGTTTATAAAAGAAATGGGGTTTATATCAGAGTTAAATGCACAAACTCTGGGGTTTATATGTACTATGAGAGAAAATCTGATTTATCATCAGAGAGACGTGCTGTTGAATCTGCACTGATCTCCATTTAGGATACATGGTGATGGTTTTCATTTTACTGGGAAATAATTTTGTCTTTATTTTTTAAAAATCTGCTCTTTTTAAATATTCAGCTAAATAAGGTGTTTTATTGTTTATATGCCAGTGGACCAATGTGCCTGAAAATTTGACATCAAGCTGTCACATATTTCTGTATTTGTATGTTTATACCAATAAATACTGTTTCACTGTTCACTCTCCTCCCTCCCTCCCTCCCTTTCTCTCTCCTCCTTGGTATATAAGCTGTTGAATCCTTCTTCAGTCTCATTTTGCTGAAGACGCTTGGAGGTGAAATCAGACACATTGTACTCCAGTGGATAACAGATTATCTCTCTCCCTGACATCTCTCTGTGCATCGCTGGAGGTAGTGTTTTCCTTTGTTGTTTTTGTTTTGTCCCCAGCTCGACCCGTGGACTGGTCCTCAGCACCATGGACAGCGCCTTGGACAGCCTGGACGCTGCAGGTTTCCTACAGATCTGGCAACATTTCGATGTAGATGGTAAGAAGAGTTTAGTCACTCTGCTCCAGCATGTAAACTGAGTAGATCTAAATGTGTCACACAATTTAAAAATTAAATGTGGGAGGCTGAGAAAGGGGCAGAGTCTGTGCCAAATATGTGCATATTACCTATTTTAATCACATGCAAATAGCACAGGAGTACAGTTAAGGGTGCATTGAGAATATCACCTTTTATTTCTCTCATTTGTACAGGTTTAGTGGCCACAAAATGTTGAGTGTTTTTGTACTTCAACAACAGAGTGGTGACTCTTCTTTCAAGTAATAATTCTCCAGCTCTGAGTTCATTTAACTCATGGTGTTAAAAAGTAAAAAAAAAAAAAAAAAATGTTGACATTCACATTACCCCACATTATTAGCATATCCATCCAACTATTTTTATCCACTTATGCGGGACAGCAGGCTAAGCAAAGCGCCCCAGACGTCCCTCTTCTCAGCAACACTTTCCAGCTCCTCCTGGGGGACCCCAAGGCGTACCCAGGCCAGATTAGATATATAATCCCTCCAAAATGTTCTGGGTCTGCCCCAGGGCCTTGTACCAGTGGGACATGCCCGGAACACCTGTAACAGGAGACACCCAGGAGGATCCTGATCAACTGCCCAAACCACCTCAATTGACCCCTTTCTATGTGAAGGAGCAGCAGCTCTACTAGCACAGGAGCACCAGCAGATCTCATTCTTTTGGTCAATACCTGAAACTCATGACCATAGGTGATGGTTGGGACGTAGATGGACCAGTAAATCAAAAGTTTTGCCTTCCAGCTCAGTGTGGCTTCTGCAGTAATTGATGTGGGTGCTGCGCTGTGGTGAAGAGGGAGATTAAAATAGCTTCTGTTTTTCAGAAAACTGTTTCCCTGATAAAGGGGAACCAGAACGTTGCAATAAATGTATTTCTTTTGCGAATTTGACAGTGTTGCGGGAGTTTGTCTGCAAGTTTTGTTTCCGCACAGCTCCGCATAAACTAATCAAGAGCAGTAAAGTCCAGAACAATGAATAAACAATGAATGCCAAAAGATTTCTACCTGACTGAATCTGAAATAATCAGTTAAAAACTCAACCATCAGGCTACAGCAGGTCAATACTGTTACAGCCTGTCTGGTTGATGCTTTGCCTTTTTTGTTAGTCAGAGACCAAATAGTTGCTGTAGAATAATGAAAGTTTACATTATTAGTTTATTTTCTATTTTAAAAATATACATATAAATACCATTGACACTAGTAAAAGTGCAACAACTTGTATTTCTTTACATTGTTGTGTGCTGTTGTATCCATTTGGTTTGAAGAGATATCTGCCTGTGTTTAGATAACGGTTACATCGAAGGAAAGGAGCTGGACGCCTTCTTCCAACACATGCTACAAACATTTGGAATGAAGGTAAAGACTGAAAATATGAGTCTGCATTTTCAGTTTGTAATCTTCATCTGCGTGTTTATCAGATGTTTAAATAAGGCTTCCTTAAGTGGCAAGAAAAGGTGAAAGGAAGTTTTCACACACCTCAACTTTTCCATTTCATCCATTCAGCCTGTAAACCAGTGGTTCCCAACTGGTGGGTTGCGGTCCAAATGTGGGTAGCGGGTCCATTCTGAATGGACTGCAAGTGACTTGTAAATGTGTCAAGTTTGTAAAAAAAAATAAATAAATATACTTTATTTTGAAGTGCAGTTTCCTGATGTAGAGTGAGTGACTAATAGACAGCTACTAGCCGGAGACAGCAAACTAACTCAACGACATGGCCAAACACAAGTATGATGCTGAATGTATTAAACTGTGTGGACCTGGAACTAATGACTAAGGAGGAATCTGGAACCGGTGGCTGGACCAGGCGGGAACCACTGCTTTAAACCACTCTGTGTTATGTTTCTGTGTGTTTCATCTGTTCAGCTATTGTCTGTCTGTAGAACAATAAGACAGTCATGTAACTTTAATTTTCACATCTATATTGCAACCCAATCACAAGAATAAATGTTGGCATTGTATGTTTCTGCAGACCATGTTTATGTAACATTTGTACACTATTATGAAGCAGGTACATTAATGTTTCTTTACATGTCAATGCTGTGCTTAATGTGCATTTAAATTGTTGCTTCATAAATACAAATGTATGTGTCACATGGTCTTTGTTCTTTAGGTTGAAGCTGTACATGTGTTTGTATGACTAAGTCTATAACTTGTATGCTGTTGTAGTTGTTACTGTAAAACCAGAACCACCTTTACAGTTAAATATTACAGTGACCATTTAAAAACTGGTGATGGTGAAAAGACGTTCAGAACTGATCCACAAGTGAAAGTATTTTTCACCAACTATTTGAAGACGTTGCTGTTGTAACCTTGTCACATTTAGACCATATTTCACTGGGATTTGCAATATTAACTTTCAACTTGGAAACTGCCAGCAGTGATGTGGGCACTGCACCAGACCATTGTAGTGAAGAGGGAGCTAAGCCAGAAGGCGAAGCTTTCGATTTACTGGTCCATCTATGTCTTAACCCTCACCTATGGTCATGAGCTCTGGGTAGTGACTGAAAGTATGAGATCGAGGATACAAGCAGCCAAAATGAGCTTCCTCCAGGGGGTGGCTAGGCGCAGCCATAGAGATAGGGTTAGGAGCTCAACATCTGGAGGGAGCTCAGAGTAGAGCTGCTGCTCCTTCACGTCAAAAGGGGTCAATTGAAGCAGTTTAAAGCGTTGCTGAGGAGAGGGACATCTGGGGTGCCTTGCTCAGCCTGCTGCACCCACAACCCGGCCCCGGGTAAGCGGATGAAAATGGATCGAAATTTGAATATGATTATTTAGTAAAGCTCCAACTGACGATTTGGTATTATTTGGACACTGTAGAGGAAGACCAATCTCACTATTGGGTTAAGCCGACGTCTCCAAATAGTTGGTGAAAAAACTTTAACTTTTGAACCAGTTCTGAACTTCTTTTCATTGGTGAACATAGACATCTTTTAAACATGTTTTCAATGGAAAAATGTTCGCTGGGTGTGCTTATGTTTAGGCACAAAAAAACACTTAGTTATGGCTAGGATAAGACTATGTTCTTAGCCTGAGTGAGCCTTCAGTCTGACATCGCCTCCATTGAAGGCGATTTACAAAGGGGGGGGAATATGATTTTTCCCTAACCAGTCAGTAGAGATCAACGACTCACCCAGAATCTGACGTCATTAGTATCCATGCCTCGGGGGTGCCGAAAACAAGCGAGCATTGCCCGTTTAAAATGTCTCCGTCGTCGTGCACGCCCAGCTGCATTGCCATTAAATCCAGTTTAGCAGCTTCCTTAATTTGGTCCTCTATTAACGCGAGTAGTGGCGAAATACCTTGATAGCATCGTTAATGTGGTCTGTAGGATCTGTAGCGGTCGCTATTGTTGCTATCCTCACCAGTTACCCACCGGCGCACAGCTTGACATCAGCGTGGTGCTGATTGGCTAATCGCTAGACCCGCCCCTACACCCGGCGTTCATTGGTCCGTCCATCGTTTGGACGAGATAAATCGCAAATTCATTGCAGTATGCCAGACCAGAGATGGAAGCCTACTCAGTTGAGTGGGCGGGGTCTATGGTCTGGAACCAGTCTACAATGTTCTGGTTTAAAATATCTGTTTTTCCATTGCACTATCCCAGCAGGAAATGCAGTGATGACTGACTAAACAATTCTCTAAACACTGACCAACAATACTTAAATACACAAACACCAGAAAAATGTTGGCACTGTACATTTTTGCAAACCACAGATAAATTAAAACTTAATATTTGAACAACACTCTGGTTAATGTGTGGTTAGGTTTTAGCACAAAAACCACTTGGTTATGGTTAGGAAAAGACTGGTCTGGCTTAAAATACCCATTTTTTGTGGCAAAATCCCTGCAGGAAACAGATCAATGTCTCAGCAAAAAACAACCACTCTTTGTGGCTCTATCCCCATCGTTAAAACAAGGATGGCTTACTAAAAACTCCCATGTTTGATGGCAGAAAAGCTGCTGGAAACTCAGTGATAACTTGCTATTAAAAACAACCAGTTTTGTTGTTTGTTGTTCTTGCAGTGGCCTGCAGTTGCAGCTTGGCAGGTGTCACACCATCCACCATCCCCTCCACCTCTAGTTGACAAAGTCAGCTGATGTGTGACTCTATGTCACTTTAGAAATGTTGATATGATTCGTATAAAAAGTACAAATGTAATATATTTATGGTTTGCAGAAATATGCAATGCTAACATTTTCTTCTGGTGACTGAGATGCTAAATTAATGGTTACATTTACATGCATACCAATATTCCAGTATTATTCCAAATATGACAATATTCCATATTTGATGCAGATCATGTAAACAGCATAATCTGATCAAATATACTGAATTAGGCCTTTTCCCGAATTTAGCATTTTCCTATTAAGACATATGAGATATTCCTGTATTATTTGGGTTCTTAGTTGGAAAAGGTGGTCAAGTTGTGCTTTAAGATTACTGGTGTGACTGTGATTAAGCAACAGCATCTGTCTGAAGAGAGGGTCACCTCTAAAGCTCAGTCTGTTGTCTCAGACTCTCAACATCCCCTCCATGTTGAGTTTCAGATGCTTCCAACAGGGCAGAGGTTTTGTCTCCCTAAATGAAGCACTAAGCGTGACAGATCTTCCTTAGTCCCATCTGCTATCGCTTATCTTAAGCGGCAGTGACTACTAATTGTCCATGATTTACCCCTGACAGTGTGTGATTCTGGATTCTGTGTGTTTGTATTGTATTGTCTGTTTTGTTTTGCTCATGACTACTGTCTGTATCTCACATTGCCCCATGGGGACATTAAAGTTTAACCTTACCTTATATACAGCCCATTTGGAATATACATCTTAATAAGGGTTTGTTGAAAAAAAAAAGTTATTTTCATGCAAAGAAGCAAAATGCACAGCTCCAGCTGTTCCACTTTTCCCTCTTTTGACGTAATTTACAACATGTTAGGGCATGTTAATCAGAGTATGCAGGGCTGCATGTTAACGGGTTCATTCTTATTAGCCATGTAAACAGCTTTGTAGGAATATTGTCTTTCCCACAATAATGGCAAAAACCGGAATAGTTTTTGCATGTAAATGTACTCATTGTGCATTGGTCTCTGGACAATGTTTTATTTCATAAGATTTCAAAGGCACTAAAGTCAGAAAATGTCAAAATGTACACAAGGTGGCTTTAAAAAGAGTTTTTGGTGTGCACCATAGTAGCTAGCATTTCATTTCTAGCGTTTCTACAAACCATCAATGTGTTACCTTTGTACATTTCATACATATTATATCATTCATACATGTGTTTATTTCCCGTAACAGCTTATCCTGTTGGGGGTCGCAGGGGTGCTGGAGCCTATCCCCTCTGATGAGAGGACAGGTCACCAGACTATCGCAGGGTGACACACAGAGACAGACAACTTTGTGTTGTGGTGGATGGACAGTTAACCTAACATGCATGTCTTCGGACTGTGGGATTAAGCTGGAGTACCTGTAGAAAACCCATGCTGCATCCAGGGTTTGAACCCGGAACCCTGTTATTGTGAGGCGACAGTGCTAACCTGTACATAGTGCTAACCTGTACATATTATATCAATGTTTCTAAACTGATGCAGTATTTGAGCTGACTTTGTCATCTGAAGGTGGAGGGGATGGTGGATGCGTCATCTAGGGGAGACGCCTGCCAAGCTGGATCATTGTTCAAAACCAACAAACAACAAAACCAGCTATTACTGTGTTTCCACCGGTGTTATAGGTTCAGGTGTTTAAGTGTTTTGTAGCAACCTATCTCTGTTTTTCAGCTGAAATGGTGCCATCAGAAGGGGTTTTTTAAAGCCCAAACATGATCATTTCCTGACCATAACCAAGTGGGTTTTGTTCTTAAACATAACCACACGTAAAGTGAAACATAAAGTGTCACTGTATCTACTACACACTATACAAATGTATGTATCTATGGTTTGCAGAAATGTAAATACCAATATTAATTCAGGCATTGAGGTTGCAGTGTCAAACTCGGGTTTTAAAGTAGAAAACACTGTCCAAGCGCCGAGGAAATCATCAACGTGTCCATGTTGTTTTCAGAGGGAGGAGATAAATGAGGAGAAAATCAGAAGACTGAGAGAAAGATTCATGTCTGCTTATGACACTGCAGGTGACGGACATCTGCAGATGCAAGAGGTACAATCTCCTTCTGCTCTAAGCTGTCTCTGGATTTTAGAAAAGGCTACATATATTTTCAGCCTGTGATCCTCAGAGATGTCATATCAGGTCATGACAACAGTCCACAGGATAGACCTTTTACATAAGGCAATACGGTCCTTTAAGCAGCTTCAAAAGATGATGAATGTGATCTTCAGTTACAATGGATATAATCTTTTTTTTCACCAGCTGGCCACTATAATGCTGCCAGAGGAGGAGAACTTCCTGCTTCTCTTCCGCAGAGAGACACCGCTGGACAACAGCGTGGAGTTCATGAGGGTGAGGGTCAAAGGTCAACCAATGAGGGAGGGCAGTGGACGTTCAGTGTTTGAATTAAAGCTGCAGGAGGCAAGATGCTTACTAACATCCAGTGTTGGGCAAGTTACCTGGAAAATGTAGTGAGCTAGGCTGCCAGTTACTCTATATCAAAATATAGTTTCACTACATTGAAGCTATCCCCAGAGAAATGTAGCAAGCTAAGCTATGAGAAAATGGCAAAAGTATCTTGCTACTTGCAAAGCTACTTTTATTTTTTGACTTTATGTCAAATCAGCGTTTTCTCAGTGATCAAAAAAACTGTCAGTAGAACAAATAGGCAGCAAAAATGTTCAGATGAACTGTTTATTATGAGGGGCCAATAAAAACAAGTCAAGAAGCCAATAGCGAAGCAGCGAACAGAATAAACTGAAGGATTAGTATGTGATGTCATGAAGAAGTGCTTCCATTGTCTACATGCCTCGGTGTGTCGCTGGTGTCAGTCACATTACTTATCCTCAGTTTTATTATCCTTGCTTTTATCCAGACCTCCGCAGAAAAAAAGTTTGCTGCACTTCAGAGTTTTTCCTGGGAAAAATAGCTTGTAACCTTTTTGGACGTTACTGCGCCACTCCGTCAGTTTAACTCAGAAAGTAGTGATGTTACTACCATGCTACTGAGAATGTGGTCAAATTAGTAACGTCGCTCCTTGTAGTATTGCTAGTATTTCTACCACTTGTACAGATAAAATATCACGATCTAAGGCAGGCTGTGACAAACTTTGTAACTTTAGTACTGTGCATGAACTTTTTCCAGTTTGGACATTTTAGCACCACCATCAGGACAAACATTATTCTGTTATTAAAGTATAAAAATCATCATTTATTTTCAATGGGTGTTTTTTTTTTCTGAGTCTCGTTTGTGTAGATCTGGAGAAGCTATGACACAGACAGCAGCGGCTTCATCTCAGCCATTGAGCTCAAGGTAACTGCTGAGTTCACATGTGACCTGTGACAGAAAACTAGTTTAATTCATTCTGTGGTCACAAGGATGTTTCCTCCTGGTTCTCAGGCCAGAGAATGATTGATTAGATCACAGTGGAGATCTGGATCTTTGATTTGTGAGGTTTGTATGCCTCTGCGCATGCAATAGCTGCGGCCAGAGGCATTAGAGACCCCGCCCCTCCCCCCCAACGGCACCCCCACCCCCCCTTGAAGGTCAAGTTAATTTTATTTAATTTCATTTTCTACATAGCCCCAGATCACAACAGACACACGCAGGCATCGTCACGTAAATAACATATTCCAGCACTTAAATAGGCCATAGCACAATACAGCAGCATGTCAAGTGGGCCAAACCCGCTCTTGCCGCCCCCCTGCACACCATGACAAAGTGCCGCCCTGAGCAAATGCTCATTCAGCCCATATCAGGATCCGCTACTGTTTTCAGGTTATCCGTCCATATGTACGTGCGTACATTCATCCCATGCTTGTGAGCGCAATATGTTAAGAACGGCTCAAGAAACTTCAAATTCACCACGCATGTCAAGGGTCAAGGTTACTGTTACCTTTCCTGTCTCACTTTTGTGAGCATGATATTTCAAGAACACCCGAAGGAATTTCCTCAAAATTGCACAAACGTTCACTTGGACTGAAGAATGACCTGTTTAGATTTTGATGGTCAAGGGTCAAAGGTCGAGGTCAGCGTGACCTCGCATCCATTTCATTCTTGTGAACACAATATCTCAAGAATACCTGTTGAGGGAATTTCTTCAAATTTGGCACAAAAAATAAACTAAAAAATCAACTGATTAGAATTTGGGGGTTAAAGGTCAAGGTCAGTGTGAACTCTCAACACATGGTTTTGGCCATAACTCAAGAATTCATATGGTAATTATGACAGTACTTTGCACAATGTCTCATAGTATAAAATGATGAAGTGATGATTTTATATCCAAAAGGTCAAAGGTCAGCTTCACCGTGACATCATAATATTTGCCATAAAACACTTTTATGACCATCACACAATGTCATATCTCAGGAACAGAATTCGGAGATCTTCTGTGTGTCAAGCATCCACAGACATGGATGTAAGAGAAACTTGTCCAGTGCACAAGGCATACAACTGCAGGACAGTAATTCTAACAGTTGTAATCAGTTTTCTATTTATAGTCAAGAAGTCAATGTTACATAAAATTTGAATGAATGATGTAGGAAAAAGAGATGACTGGTTGCTCTGTATAATCAAAAGCAGATCAAAATGTCAGGTGCTCTAGGTCTACAGTGCCAACAGTTTCTTCTAGGGAATGGCCTGGAGCCACCCCCTGCTCTGCCCCTGGATGGAGCATTGGCCTGGAACATTTTTCTTGCATATGAGTTGTGTGTTTTTTGTCCCTTCAGGGCTTCCTCCGGGACCTTTTCTGCCAGCACAGGAGGTCCATCACCCCTGAAAAACTGGAGGAGTACACTGACACCATGGTAACAGTTACACTGTTCAGATATCAGTAGTGCTGAGACATCCTGTCATTGATAGCCTAACTTCATTCTGTTCATTTTTTTCTCCTTCAGATGAAGATGTTTGACAAAAACAGAGACGGCAGACTGGACTTAAATGACCTGGCCAGGTACTGTTGATTTGTGTCATATGACTAAAAGGAGGATCAGGAAATTTTCAAAAGAAATTGAATGATAACTGTTCTTCTCTATAACTGTTCTGTTATAACCAGAAAAAACACAACATATTATATCATTTTAAGCAGTTTAAAATCTCTTACAATGACACTGTTTCTTGTCTCAAGAATCTTGGCCCTGAAAGAAAACTTCTTACTGAAGTTTAAGATGGACGTAAGTTTACAGAGTTTATTGAGAAGTCTTTCGATTTTATATGTGAAATTTTAGCTGAATTTCTGCTCACAATCCCCTTCCTTTCACATCAGTCTTCCTCTTTAAAATGATTCTGTTTCAGCAGTTGCTTGTTAACAGTCCAAATGTTTTGTGTGAATATTTAATGCTATTCTTTTACTCACTGTTTCATTATGCTACTTGTTGTATTTGGTGTCAGGCTTGCAGTCAGGAAGACAGGAAGAGAGACTTTGAGAAGATTTTTGCTCACTATGATGTTGTAAGTTTGAATTTAGATTTTTGTTTGTTGTTTTCTGTCTGTGCAGATAGAGCAGGCAGGTTGTTACACAAGGGTAAATGGACTGCACTTGTAAAACACCTTTCTGGTCTTCCAACCCCTCTTTACAATATGAGTCACATTCACACACTGGTGGCTGAGGCTACCATACAAGGTGCCACCTACTACTCAGTTTTTGTAACACACTCACACACTGATAGAATAGTCATCTGGAGCAATTTGGGGTTCAGTATTTATCTCAAGGATACTACGACATGCTGACTGGAGAAGCCAGGGATTGAACTGCCAATCTTCCTGTTAGTGGACAAACCGCTCTACCATCTGAGCCACAGCCGTACCACATACATGTCCTGTCAAATAACACTTGAAAATGAGCTTTATAATTATGTGTTAGTACTAAATACTGATTAAATGGCAACATATTTAGATTTTTAGTTAAAGCTGGTGTAGGCAGAAGTCAGGGAAAAAAACAGCACAATTTGAAAATACACCCTCCTCCTGCCACTCTCCCCTCTCTGTCCTAAGCCCCTTCCACCAGACGACCACAGGCATATGCTTCATACAGTAACCCAGTGTTTTCCATACATTGATTTATTTAATCTTATTTCATTGCAGAGCTCTATCTGTTTATCAGACCAGAAACAAGACAAGAATTAGCTAGGGCTGGGCCTGGGGTTTGCAGTGGCTGGATTTGGGTTGCTGCAGCCATTGACTGGGGGTTCGTCTCCAGAGCTGCTTCCTGCTCTGCTCCCAGGGAGGTGGTCTATACTGGCGGGGAGAGAGGCAGTGGACAGACTGTGATTTGAGGCTCTAGATAACAGCAGCTACATCAATATAAACATGATTCGGCACTCGTGAGCCTTTGGCTGCAGTTAGCAGAAGGCTAATCTATTACCCAACATTTTCTCTCCATGTCTGAAAGGCTTCGTTGATAATGACGCATGTTTTATTTTGTTTATTATCAGACTCTGTTTTAGAGTCTTTTTGATCAGTCCATTTTCCTTTTTTGGGTTGCTTTGCAGTGTGGACAGTCGTTGACACTGCAATAGAAAAATAATTTTTCTGGGGGCATCGGTGGCTTAGTGGTAGAGCAGGCGCCCCATGTACAAGGCTGTTGCCGCAGCGGCCCGGGCTCAAGTCCAGCATGTGGCCCTTTGCTGCATGTCATCCCCTCTCTCTCTCTCCCCCTTTCACACTTAAAGTGATAGTTCAGGTTTTTGGACATGAAGTTGTGTGAAACGCTGACCATCTGTAGCTCTGATGTGACGGTGTCACTACTCTCAACGAGCCTCCTGCTCTGAGAAATCGCCCGTAGCTTACCGGAGAAAAAGTAGTTCTGAAGATGTACGGGGGACACGTAACCAAAAGGTTTTAAGCTACAAAAAAGTATGCATGTGTTTTGTTAGACTATTTCAATAATTTTAAAACATCCTCGCATTACGTCAGACCTTGCTATCAATTGGGACTATTTTCTGGCCAGTATCACTCCGCCGTGCTGGCCCGCAAGACAGCACGGCAACAGAAAAAAATTAGCCACTGTAGGTAAACAGAGGAATACCAAAATGGTGCGAACAGCTGTGGGAATAAAAACATCGCCAGCTCCCAATTCCATCGGTTTCCTGTTACAGATGTAACCCGTAGGCAACTACGGGCATACTGGCCAGAAAATAGTCCCAATTGATAGCAAGGTCTGACGTAATGCGGGGATGTTTTAAAATTATTGAAATAGTCTAACAAAACACATGCATACTTTTTTGTAGCTTAAAACCTTTTGGTTACGTGTCCCCCGTACATCTTCAGAACTACTTTTTCTCCGGTAAGCTACGGGCGATTTCTCAGAGCAGGAGGCTCGTTGAGAGTAGTGACACCGTCACATCAGTGCTACAGATGGTCAGCGTTTCACACAACTTCATGTCCAAAAACCTGAACTATCACTTTAACTGTCCTGTCCATTGAAGGCAAAAAAAAAAGAAAAATAATGTTTCTGCAGTATTCTTCACCATTGAATCAGATTTTCGCCATCTGAGGGGATGTGAACGCACTTCTGCATTTGTAGAACAGCCAAAAGGAATGCTGTCTCTCTGAAATTACCTGTAATTGGACAAAGTCTCCCGTCACAGTTTAGATTTTCTAAAGCCTGAAAACAGAGCCAAGAGGAGGTGCTGAAGTCTAGTTTTCTCTCTCAGTCCTATTGAATTACAATATGCTAAATGGTTATGATGGAATTTTTGGACAATGGCATCAAAATAAAATTGCCTATCCCAGCTTTAGTTAATGAGCTGTGTTTCAGATGCGTTTCCAGCTGTCACTTGTTAACTGAATTAGGTAAAGACACAAAGAAGAGTCTGAATAGTTTTCATACAGGTTATTCATTGTGTGTGTGTGTGTGTGTGTAGAGTAAGACAGGTGCATTGGAGGGCCCTGAAGTGGATGGATTTGTGAAGGACATGATGGAGCTGGTGAAGGTAGAAAAAAGTTTTACCCACCCATCATATAACTGCTGTTTACCTGCTATAAAGAGCTGACACAGGCTGTTGACGATCACATTTCAGTCAGTGTCATTTGATATTTTTACCCATGAGGACTCTTTGTCCTTTGACCTCTCTCTTCCACACCCCGACCCTCTCCTGCAGCCCAGCATCAGCGGCACAGACCTGGACAAGTTCAGGAAAGCCCTGATGGGTCACTGCGACATCAATGGAGATGGCAAGATCCAGAAGAATGAGCTGGCTCTCTGCCTCGGCCTCAAACTCATCTAATGGGCCATCACAGCATTTACACTCTTTCCTCCATCAGTAATCATTTTCAGCCTCCTCTCTTCCATCATTTAAACGTCTCCTTTCTTCATTCTTTCAGTTTTAATGTGAATCTTTTACTTTTTCCTCTCACCTGACTCAGTTTTTCTCCCGTCCTGGTTTATGAAAGTGTATCTCCTCCCTTACTGGCTCTCAGTTTGGCTTTAAAAGGCCAATGTAGCTACATATACTAGGCTCATTGATATAGCACAGTTTATTTATATTATTTCATAGTTTTTTCTGTAATAATATTCCTAGCATAAGTAGAAATTGTGTGCATTAAATGTGTATTTATGCCACCATGATTTCAAAAAGTTCTGCTGTTTTCATGACTTCATGGCATGCTGCTTCTTTGTAATGTGTTAACAATTAGACAGTGCTTGCATGATATTATTGTGAAACCAGTAACATGAATGATGATTAATAAAATCTATTCTATATCTATAAACCTTTGTCAGCTGTGTCTTTCTTCTCTGAATCAATAAACCCTCAATGAAAATAAATTGATTCACACTAGGATATTTTTTGGAACTTTAATGCAAATAAATTGCCAGAGTGAATACAAAAGCATCAAAATTGGGGATGCACCGATTTATTGGCCACACATCAGTATCAGACGATATTCTCCTTCTTGACTGCCATCGGTCTATCAGCAAATAAGATGACATTCACCGATGGCAGTGGCTGATGTTTTTCTGTTGTGTCACATCAGTTGTGTGCAGGCTAAAAAGCAGGGCTCAGGACAAACGGCATCCCATTGTCCCTGGGACAATAGAAAACTTGTTTGTCATCTTTGGGGCAAGAAGACAGTAAACTCATTCCACACTCTGTGGTGTCCTTGATAATGCTATATTGTGAACAACAAGTCTGTGTTGACACCAGCAGAAGGAGAGCCAGTTAACGTTAGCTGTTAGCAGCCGGTGGCTGGCTCTAACTGCTGACAGAGGTTATACTGAGATATGATTATGCATTCATGATTCCATTCAGTAAACATGAGTATTGGGCAAAGGTAAATTACAACATTCTCATGATTGTTCAAATGTAATCTTATAAAATTTGATATATAAACAGCCAAATTGTAATTTGAAACATTGGTATCGGCCCAGAATTTCACATTTAGTGCATCCCCAATCAAAATAGAGCTTGTTTATCAAAAAAGGTGCCAGGAGAAGATCCTCTGGACCCCCTGACAGAGATAGGGGCTGAGCCCTGAATGCCCTCAAATCCTAAAAACGCCCCTGCTGCATCCACCCGTCCTGTGCAGAACTGCAGCAATTAGCCCCTGGCCTCCTGTCATTTTCTCAAAAGCGGCCTCCAGGCAAAGCAAGTTGAGTATCCCTGATCAAAAGACTGATTATATGCTTTAAAAAACATCAGCAGTAAAGTAAGCATGTAATGGTTCCTAGACTTGACTGACTAACAAGTCCCACAACAGCTCTCAACATCAGTGAAAAAGCACAATATGTTTAGCAGCTCAACTGTGTCTAAATTACTCACTAATGTAAAAATATAACATACAGCAACATTTTTAAATACACTGTAAAATCTGATATGTTGCTATTACTTTTAAAAAAAAATCTAGGAAACCTAATAGTTATGTTTACTTATAATATTGTTTATAATATTTTTATAGTATTTTTTTTTATAGCATTTTAACTGGGACAAATCGTAGGTCAGATATCACTGCGATTCTCACCTTCCTCCATCGGTTGCCAGTTAACTTCGGAAGTGATTATATGATTTTTTTTAATAAGTTTTAATGCTGGTTTCGCTCTAGTTATATAGCTGAGCTTCTGACTACCCATGCTCCCAGCCGTGACCTGAGATCCTCTAGCCTGACCTCACTAGTTGTCCCTAGATCAAGGCTGGCAACTAAAGGCGACTGGGCTTTTGCCATTGACGCCCTGAGGCTCTGGAATTCTCTGCCTGAGGGGATTAGGCTGGTTTGTGCATTATCAGTTTTTAAATCATTGCTCGAAACATATTTTTATAGGAGGGCTTTCCCTTTTAGTGTCTGATTAGTACTTTTGTGATTTGTAACTAGGTTTTTTTTTGCCTCTGTACTCACAGTTTTCCTCAGCTCTTCACAATTTTTTGACAAATTGTATTGTTTCGTTGCCTCATTTTTATGTACTTTGTTAGGCACTTCATAACCTTGTTGAGATAAGTGCTATATAAATAAATATGCAGCCACTGCAGCAAGCACACAGTGCCTGTACATGTGACTCCCCCTCCACCTGCTGAGCTGTTGAACACCTCTACTTTGCACTTTTTTAGTTCACATCTGTGAGAATTTATTTTATTTTTTTTAATATGGTGGACAACATTACATGAAGAGCAGGAACTGATATCTGCAACTTTGTAATGTTTAAAGTTTAATATATTTCATTTCAAAGTGTTCTTTAAAGAGCTAAACTGGGGAGCAACAGTTTTATTTTTCTACTTTCTAGTTCTGTTGTAATCTCAGTTGTATTTGGGTTGAGGCTGAAATCTCAAAATCTGATAAATAAAACCAAAACTACTTCAGTTTTAACTCTTGTTGCTGCCAGGTAAGTTTTTATTTGGTTGATTTGACCTCTGAAGCAGATCCACAACCTGAATGGTTCTCTGCTGCCAGAAGTGAAATGTGTGAAGTTAGCTGAAGTGCAAACACCTGCCCAGGTCTTAGACTCACCTGACATCCCAACCTGATTCCAATTACTTCATCTGATGTGATTGGTCGACTCAGACACCACCACTTGAAAAGGGCCTCTGTCTGTGCAGCAATCATGAAGCTGAAACAGTGGTTCCTGATTTTGTTGGTTGTTACAACACGGCTTGCATGCTGTTTGGCTTCAGAACAAAAATGTCTGGATTTTGTTGGAGGTAAGATCACACATTTAATTTCAGCAGATATACTATTGTGCTAACCTGGTTTGGTTTTGTTCATGTTATTCTTTTTTTCAGAGTAATTGTGCTCTCACTGTTGACTTTTGGGCTGCATGCAAAGGGTAAGAATTCCTGCTTCATGAACTGCAGTTCAATTTGGAAACTTCAAGAGTCACCTTTTTTAAAGCATTTTCTCTTTCCAGCACTAACCTACAGAAATGGAGACTACAGCGGCATTAGACCTTACTTTAATTTTCCAAGAAGCCACAAACCGGCTTTTGCCTCTTCTGGTGATGAGAGCTCTGGACGTAGTTACACTTCATCTGAGACCCTGAAGCCAGCTGCTGCACCTAGTGTGGGACGTTCTAGTGGGCAAGTAGATGGTTACAGTCCAGAGGGAAGTGTTTCCAGTTACAGGCCTGGACCACCGATAATTCAGAAACCCAGACATAACCCACAGCAGCCACCTCAAACAAATCCTAATGCAAATGGGGTTCTCCAGACCAAAGCTGGCATGTGGAATTTTCCATTTTTCCAGAATGGAAACAGTTTTGAGTCGGGTATCGTTTCAAGTTCTGGAATTGAGATGCTTTCTCATCCCCAACTTAAGCTCAACTCCCCTTGGCTAGCCAAGCGCCAGCCGCCCGCCTACCCGGCCCAGCCCCAGCAGCCCCAGCAGCCCCAGCAGCCCCAGCAGCCCGCCTACCCGGCCAAGCCCCAGCAGCCCACTCATTCATCCACGCTCCAGTTGCCGACCTACATGGCCAAGCAGCAGCAGCCGCCTGCCTACTCAGGCAAACCCCAGCCACCCGCCTACCCGGCCAAGCCGCAGCGGCCCCAGCCGCCCGCCTACCCGGTCAAGCCGCAGCGGCCCCAACCGCCCGCCTACCCAGCCAAGCCCCAGCAGCCCACTCATTCATCCACGCTCCAGTTGCCGACCTACATGGCCAAGCAGCAGCAGCCGCCTGCCTACTCAGGCAAACCCCAGCCACCCACCTACCCGGCCAAGCCGCAGCGGCCCCAGCCGCCCGCCTACCCGGCCGAGCCCCAGCAGCCCACTCATTCATCCATGCCCCAGCCGCCCGCCTACCCGGCCAAGCCGCAGCGGCCCCAGCCGCCCGCCTACCCAGCCAAGCCCCAGCAGCCCACTCATTCATCCACGCTCCAGTTGCCGGCCTACGTGGCCCAGCAGCCGCCTGCCTACTTGGGCAAACCCCAGCCGCCCACCTACCCGGCCAAGCCGAAGCAGCCGCCCGCCTACGTGGCCAAGCCGCAGCAGCCCCAGCTGCCCACCTACCCAGCCAAGCCCCAGCTGCCCACCTACCCAGCCAAGCCCCAGCAGCCCACCTACCCAGCCAAGCCGCAGCCTGCCTACCCGGCCAAGCCGCAGCGGCCCCAGCCGCCTGCCTACCCGGCCAAGCCTCAGCAGCCCACTCATTCATCCACGCTCCAGTTGCCAGCCTACATGGCCCAGCAGCCGCCTGCCTACTCAGGCAAACCCAAGCCGAAGCAGCCGCCCGCCTACGTGGCCAAGCCGCAGCAGCCCAGTTATTCATCCACGCTCCAGCAGCCCGCCTACCTGGCCAAGCCGCAGCGGCCCCAGCCGCCCGCCTACCCGGCCAAGCCTCAGCCGCCCGCCTACCCGGCCAAGCCCCAGCCGCCCGCCTACCCGGCCAAGCCCCAGCCGCCCGCCTACCCGGCCAAGCCCCAGAAATGGGTTCTCCAAAGCAAAGCTGGCATGTGGGACTTTCCTTTCCTTGGCGGTGCTGCTTCTGGCTCTCATGTGCAGCCCACTGACTCAAACCCACAAATGAATGTTGAACCAAGAAGTTCAAGACCAATTCCAATTTCATCGCCGTACCATCCCAGGTGGCAGCAGCCACTGGTGCCTGTGCATGACAAACGCTATTGAACTTGGATCGTAATGGTAAGTTAATTCAACTTAATGTTCTAACAGTCTGAAATCTTTAATGTAGACTTGTTGGTTTTGGTATGGTAATGTGAGGGTGAAGGACTTGTTTGTTTTCAAATGGATGTGCAGGAAGATTCCTTTGCAAAAGTTGAGGTAACTGCATAATGAAGATAATTGTTTGTTTTTTTTTTTTTCCCCAGGTTCCTTACCTCCTTGTGGAAGCAATTTTTTTTTTTTTTTTCCCGGCATCAACTGTACTTGTGAAATACAATAAAGTATTTGGAACTGCACTCCTGCTTGTCATTTGCAACAAGTTCAGCATACTGCTTAGCAATGGTGCTTCCAGTATCCTGACAGATTATTGTAATGTCTTTCAGTATGCCAAATATCTCGTCATGTTGAGCTCTGGGGTTCTTCTGCTTATTGGAGTCATACTGTGGGTACACGGTACATGTGTACAAAATAAGGGTAGACCAGTGAGTTTAATGAGAAACTTCAAGTGTGATTCTTCTGTATTAAACCTGTTAGGTATATGAACTGTTAAGTCATCAAGACTGGGTCTAAAATTCAATACGTATTGTCAAATTTGTGAGGTAAGTTACTAACACAAAGCTCAAATAACCTGTGAACAAAAATAAAATGGGCAAAAATACATTAAATGTATTGATACAAAATACCCCTCAACCATATCAAAATAAATGGTGCCAGAAAATGTATCAATGTATTTTCAAATACAGAATATTTTTTTTTTTTTTTTTTAGCAGAAACCCATAGCGCTATAGGTCAGTCGGTCCACAAAGCTTTTCGTGAATAACTCAAAAGTCCTTGATCAAAAACATCAAGCCAGTTGACATCTGTCACAAATGTTTACCTTGACAACCTGAAATTGGAAGACGAGCAGTAAGGTAGTCTACTGGTAGTGTGGGTCCATCCATGTGAGCAGCATGCCTGGCAAGTCAAGTCTAGCTGTACTGAGAACTGTCCACCGGTCTAGCTAAACAGCAGCAAGATACTGTAGCTAGTTAACTTGTTTGCAGTCTAATTTGGAGCCTTTGGAGCCCTGTGTTCATCTTTTTTCAAATGGAAAAAAAGCTAGGGACATGTAGGCTACCCTAAAATATTATTTATGGATTCAGATTTAGATTCAGACAACTATATTCCGACACAAGGCAATTCATTTGTAGCATACTCATCCCAAGCATCAACCACAACAACATAGCAATCAATTTTATTTATAAAGCCCAATATCACAAATCACAATTTTGCCTACAGGGCTTTACAGCTTACAACACTTCTCTGTCCTTAGGACCCTCGCAGTGGATAAGGCAAACCCCCCCCCCCCCCCCGGTAGAAACCTCAGGAAGAGCAACTGAGGGGGGATCCCTCTTCCAGGACAGACAGACGTGCATATACAATTTCCTATGTTATGCACAGTCCAGTAAAACGGATCACTAGGTCAGTGAAGGGCACATCGAATGGCCCAAGTTTAAAAAAACATATAGATAAAAATATTTTTAAAGTAAAAAAATATTGTTACATCCAATATTATTATAAGAATGTGTAACCTATAATTTTTGTTTTTTGATTTGTGGATAAAGTATTTTTACTATTTTAAATACAAAATTACTCCACTCAAAAGTATTTTGTCACAAATTACATTTGCTTTTTATCAGCAAAATACTCAAATGTAATTGAAATACGTATTTTAAATACAAGTAATAGAAATACTGCCCATCCCTGTAAATGTGTAAACCCATCACTTAAATTTTTTTCACTTCCAGGAGCAGAAAGACATGGCAGCTTCATGCTTTTTACCCAGCTGCACAAATAACAGACAAATTGGGACTAAATCCAACTTGAGATGGGATGAGTTTGCCAAGCAGGTGGTCGCTCTGAGGGAAATTACAGAGGGCAGGCATGAAGAGTCAAGACTCACACTGTTGAATCTCTACCATGGGCTGCTCACAGTTCAGCAAGCAGCTGCTTATTATCACTGCCAGTGGGGATGCTTTCTGTTTAAAGATGATGTTTTTCTTTGGAGGGGCTTTTTACACTGCTGCTTTAGTTAGTGTAAGATTGAGAGTTGGAGCTACAATAGGTACCAACATCAAGGGCTGGTTGGAGTTTTGATTCCCGCTGTTGCTCATTGTGTATATAGCAAGGCATTGCTAAACAGGAAGAGGAGCCAGCTGATGAGAACACTTGGGCAGTAAGGTACTTGAAGTTTGACAAAAGTGAACCCAAAGAATCCAGTCTCATCACACATCAGCTGCTGTTTGGAATTGAATTGTACAGACTCCAAAGCAAGGGCGGCACAGTGGTGTGGTGGTTAGCATTCTCACCTCACAGCAAGAGAGTTGCCGGTTCGATCCCGGGCGTGGGAGCCCTTCTGTGCGGAGTTTGCATGTTCTCCCCGTGTCAGCGTGGGTTCTCTCCGGGCACTCCGGCTTCCTCCCACAGTCCAAAGACATGCAGATTGGGGACTAGGTTAATTGATAACTCTAAATTGTCAGTAGGTGTGAATGTGAGCGCGAATGGTTGTCTGTCTCTATGTGTCAACCCTGTGATAGATGTGCTGCTATAAACACCCAGGTTCAGTGGCACAATTGCAGCTAGGAAAAGCCATGATGAACAGCTAAAAGCACTCAGTTTTGATGACACAAACACTGCTGGGAAAGCCACAATGTGCCGCCAAAACCATCCAGGTTTGGTGGCCCAAGCACTGCTGGAAAACACAGCAATGTGTCTGTGCAAAAGATCCAGGTTTAGAGCACAAACACCGGCGGAAACGCTGTGAAGGGTCTCCAAAAAACAGCTGGTGTTGTTGTCTGTTGGTCTTGAACAGTTGTCTGCAGGCATCTGCAGCTTGGCAGCTGCCCTGGTGACTTGCCGTCCACTATGGACTCTATCTCCTGATGGCAAAATCAGTTCATACATTATGTCACTTTAGAAATGTTGTATCTCTTACTTCATTTTCTTCATGCCGTTTGGAAAGTGCATGTTGGTTTCTTTGTCTGGGCATTGATGTGAATGTAACTGATTAAATAAAAAGCATGGTTCAGGTAATGTCAGAATGCACACTATGAGGCTAATAAAATATCCTCTGAACACGCTGTGGAGTCTTCTGCTCCTCGTCTTTATACTTTTCTCCCACTTCTTCTCTCCCCCTCTCCCTGTCTCCCACTCTCTCTGATAGCTGTTATTAAGTTTAGTCTTATCCTGTTTGGGGGAGATAATGACACAGAGCCAAGCTTTTTGTGCACTGACTATCAGTTTGTGTGTGTGTTGTTGCTCCCTGTCATTAAGAAGCGAGTCTGTAGTTAAAATGACACTGCAGCTTTAACTGTTTGAAGCTCAGCCAGCTTCACCATCTGATCCCAGATCTTCCTCCAATAAACCAGTCCACTCCACTGGCCTCAGCCCACCCTCCAGCACTTCAGTTTGGGGCCAAAAGTCTGCAGGTTTTCCCTCTCAGCTGCTGTAGTGGAAACTCTGGCACATGGTAGTTGAGTAGTGCTGCAGAGGGAAACCAAAGTCCCAGTGAAACAACTTTTTGATAGGTTTCTTTGAAAGATCTTAACAAATATTTAAATATTGTACTAACTGACTAACAGGACCAAACACTTAAACTCCTCCACATAAAAAATATCACAGCACTTATTTTGTTTTCTTTAGTTGGATGGATGTCCTGTTGAGACAAAATGTGCAGGACACATCATTTAAACTTAATTAAAACAGCAGAAAGCTGCAAGATTTTGGGGGGGGGGTTGATGTTATTAGTGAGTGTTTCATGTAGTTCCAGTAAGATTATTAATCTCTGTTTGTGGCACCTGGTGGATAAAGTGCAGGAACAGGTATCAGCAAAGCCATCAGTCTAAAACACGAAGAGTAGCATGCTTACCTCCTGTTTGCTCTGATGTTGATAATAATAATGATAAGTATAATAATAATATAATAATTATCATTATTATTACACTTTATTTATGTAGCACCTTTCATACTAGAAATGCAGCACAAAGTGCTTTACAAAAGGGCATTATAAGCACTAAGTTCTTCACATGAAATTAGACATAATGAACATAAAACAGAACTAAGTCATAAAAACATAGAATTGTAAATCATAAAATCAAGATTTTAAAAGGGCTGCAGCAGTGTGAAGCGTAAAAAGAAAGAGTTTCAGATCTGTATGAGAAAAGTAAGTGCTAGTTAAAGGCTAAAGTGAACAGATACATTTTTTGCTTTCTTTCGAAAATACTAAGTGAGCTGGCTTCCCTGATATCTATAGGTAGTGTGTTCCATGGTGTGTTCCAAGTGGGGCGTAATCAACAAAGGCTCCAAACCCCGATCTTCTTCAGACTGTTTCTGGGGACCTCCAATAAACCAGCGGCAGATGATCACAGTGCTCTTTGACGCAAATAGTTAACAAGGGATTTAGCAGCTAGTTCCCAGTCCATTTAGGGCTTTGTATACAAGGAGGAGGAGGAGCTTAAAATCAGTTCTAATGTAACAGGAAGTCAGTGCAGAGCAGCTCAGACTGGCCTGATGTGCTCTCTCCTCTGTCCTGTAGCTGAGCTGCAGAGTTTTGAATGAGCTGAAGTCCAGTAAAAAGTGCATTGCAGTAGTTGAGGTGGCTTGAAATAAAGGCATGAATCAATTTCTCTACAAATTTTTCATTTAGAAATGGCCGTCCTTTAGCAATGTTTCTGAGGTGGAAAAATTACGTTGTCATCACCTTGTTAATGTAGGACTTGAAGCTTTGATCTGAATCTGGGATCACACCAAGAGTTGTAACCTCAGATTTAATCCGAGATTTTGAAGTCCCCAGATTATTGAGCAGCATTTCTCTTTTTGTTTTAGGGCCTACAAGTAGGATTTCAGTTTTGTCTTCATTTAACTTTGAGAAACGAAGACAATGTTCTTTTACTTAAACCTATACAGTAAAGACAAAATAAAATTTAATATCAAAGAAGGAATGTGCGACCATTACTTTGCTGGGGTAAAGATTACTTTGTGGTTGCATGTTCTCACATATTATTAATGATCACAAGCAAAAGTGTAAAAGAGTGTGTACATGTGGGTGAAACATAGGTACACTTTAAAGGTCTTTGGTATGACAAGGTTTAGTAAAAGCAGTCCACTGAGTGTAGAGAAAGCTTTCCTCAGGATGCAACCAGAGAGTCACTGACGATGTTTTACCACTAGGTGTCCTCCATGTAATGATGGAACATCCCAACTCATCACATACTTAAGCTTTGTCAGTGGTTCTTGGTGTCCGTGACCAACATACCCAGGATGGAATTTAACTAAATACATTTACTCAGGTACTGTACCTGAGAACAGATTTAAGGTACTAATACTTCTGAATATTTCCATTCTATGCAACTTCATGCCTCTACTCTGCAACATCTCAGCGGTAAATAGTGTACCTTTATTTGTCTGACAGCCTATGTTACTTCCTGTCTAGTAAAAAACATGTATTTCCAGATGTGATGATGTTGAATGTTTGAGATAAACTGAAGGATTAAGTGTTCCTTTGTATGCTGAGGAAATTCTCCTCCTTCTTAAGCTAAATAAACTCTTTAAAAACTCTCTTAGTGGGATGCCCAGTAGCTCAGTGGTTAGGGTGGGTGTCTCATGTGCAAAGGCATTGTCCTTGCCACAGCGACTGTGGATTGGACTCCAGCCTGCAGCCATTTGCTGCATGTCATCCCCTCTTTCTTTCCCCTCTTCATGCTTAATCTGTCCTGACAAATAAAGTAAATCTAATGATTCTCTTAGCTCAGCTGTAAAGTGCATCATCACAGAGCTGAAAACGGACTTTTTTTCTGACTTTTTTAGAGATGTGTGGTTCTTACAGGACAGCCACACTACAAACATGATAATCTTAGTGAATATGATGCATTGCTGTAGATTAAACTACCCAGTGACGTAAAATAGTTCCGATGGGCCCCAGTGCATGCTATTGTGACAGGCCCTGGTGCATGCTAGTTACTAGTTTTAAGGCATGCACACACACACACACACACACACACACACACCACACCACTGGCAACTGTTCATAAAAATGCCAGAGGAATCTAATTTAGGGAGCTTTCCTACTTTTTCTTCCTGTTTGTTTCTCTGTTGTCCTTTCTTACTGCCACTTTTATGTTTGAAAGGCATGACTGCTCACTGGGCTTGTAGATGTGCTCAGTCTTGACATATTTTGCACCCAAACTAGCTGCAGTACTGTATCGTCTTGTCACATGCATACCTGTATATGATAAAAATATCAAAGAAAGGTCGGTGTAGCCTCTACAGACAGATCACTGCCGCAGACATGTTGTGTGATTGATTTAATGAAATAATCTCGTGATGTTTTGTAGTTTCTTAACACTTGATATGATGACAAATGAGCGATTTGGTTTAAAAACCTTTGTACTTTCTTGAAAAGGAAAGAAAAAAATAAATGGTTCTGATGTCTTTTTTTGTAGGTTTTTAGGCTCTTGTTGAATGTGAACACTCATTTCCATGCGTTGCACTGGAACAAAACCCACATGATGGAGAGATGAGGTAGGTTTGACCTTTGCCACATGTTGTTTTGTTAAGTAACAGCAGCCTGTCTAAAGGTCGACAGAGTATCTTTCATCTCCTCTGGTTGGCCCTCCAGTCCTCCTCATGTCTCATCCTCGCCTGTTTCATCTTTTACAGTTACTGTTACAGTTCAGTGAAATACTCACTGGGTGGCGGTGTAGTTTTATATATCTCAGCTGACAGCCAAGACTCCAACTTTTAGGAATCATCCAGCCAATCACTACAGGCAGAAATAATAAAAATAAAAAAAATCTTTCATTTCATTCTGTAAAAAATGTAAAAACATAAAATGTCCTGAAAAACATCCTTACTGTACTCTCTTAGATAACCTGACTATATTAGCCGTTTAAGAGTTCAGGTTTGGACAACACTAGCAGTTTACTCTTTCTGTAACACTTATATAAGCCTATGTATTTTTTATGTTTCTTACTTTTCCATATAACATTTTTTACTTTTTGATGACATTGTGTTTATTCAAAGACTTTTGTGATTTTCTTAATTAGCATAAATTACTCTTTTTGTTTAAATATTTGCTCTAATGTTATATTTCTATCTTTGATTTTTTTTTTTTTTTTGGTTAGTGGAGATGAATCTTTTTCCTGCTCTTAGTTTTAGGACTTGTAAATTATTTCTATTTCTATGTCTATGACTTTATTTGAATCTCATTTCATTGCACTTTGTTTAATTAAATGTATTTATTTTACATTATAAAAAACTAAAACTCTTTCCCACATAACAATTTTAATTATTCTATGACATTATGTTATTCTAAGACGTTTGTGATTTTTTTTTTTTAATTTCCTCTTTTAATTTTTATGCCTTTATTTGGAATTGTTCTAGTTTTTCTGTTTATTTTTTCTATCTTAGGCCTACATTATTTTTATTTTTTTATCATAAGTGGTTTTTAATATATATAGTAGTGTAAATGAATTGTTTATTTAATTTTGGTCTATTTCACCTTCTCTTTCCATTAACAAAAAGAGCCTCCTCAGCTGAGGGCGGAGCAAATCGGACGCGCGTCCCCGTCCCTGCTGGCGCGCCCCCGTGCCGAGTCTCGTTAAGCAGAGCCAGTGGAGCTGTTCTCTGTGTAAAGTTCAGACTCCCCGGCAGCGTCGTGCGGTTTCCTGCTGTCACTTTTCTGTCCGCTCCAACATGCGTTTCCTCCCGCAGACATCATGGGATTTATCCGCTCTGAGAGGAAACTAACCTCCGGCTCTGCTGCTGCCTGTGTCCGGGTTTTGCTCTCCTTCAGCCGGGGAAATCCTGCAGCGCCTCTCTGAGCGTCTTTACCGACACCGAGCCGCTTTTTCCTTCCCGTTAATTTATTTGTTTCCTGTCGCTTCATCTATTGACTTCAGCAGCTCCGAGTGACAGTATTTGTAATTTCCGTTCACACAGCTGAAGATGGAGACGGTGATGGAGAGGGAGTGCAGCGCGCTGGGGGGGCTTTTCCAGACTGTCATAGGAGACATGAAGGTAACATGAAGGAACATTATCATTACATCTGATTTCAAATGTTAAACATAGGAAAATTAATTAATGCGCTTGGACAACACCCCTCTGTAGGCTACATCTTGTTGCATCAAAGCAAAGCAGACATTTTATTTCATCTGAGGTTTCCAGGCCTCATCATTAATTTTAATTATCCAGGAGGGGGGAGGAAGTGGGTGTGTTCAAGCCCTTTATTTTCAGGATGGGACCGCCTGCAGCTTTCTCCAAAATAAAAAAAAACAAACAAAACCAAAACAAAACCAAAGGGTAAACCAGCTTCGTCCTGTAACCACACACAGCTACAGGCTGCTGAGTTGAATGACAGTGACAGACACTGCTGCAGTCATATCACACTGTAATGTCTTCCCCATAAACCATGAGTCAGTTCAGGAATATTTAACTAGGTTTTTATTATGAGAAGGATGTTACTGACTGAGGATGGACTGATACGGACAGAAATCTGTGGTTTGTGAGATTTGCTAATCTCAAAAAAGAAAAACAAAGTGTTAAACAATTTGCCTTCTATCAAAACACTTTACTGCTTCATGAATGGGAATTTGGGGAATTTAAATGGCATTAGAGCGGAAAGGATTAGTCGATAAATCAGTGAATAGAAAACATGACCTCGTTCCAGCTTCTAAAAATGTGAATATTTGTCTTGCATGATAGGAAACAGGATATTTTCAACTTTTGGTCAGACAAAAACAAGAACTGCTTCATGAAATGGTGATTTTTTTTCCACCGTTCTCTGACTTTACAATGAACTTAATTAAAAAATGATTTAATGATGAGAAAAATCATTAGTTGCAATCCTAAAGATTGATTAGCAGAAGTTGGGTATCAGTCTACAGACTTGATATGTTTTTTGTTGTTTTTTTTTTCTGTAAAGTGGTTTTACTGTTGTCAATACATATATGATTTGGGTTAGCTTTAGGCCTGGGATGATATGAAAATTTCATATCATGATTATCCTGGCCAAAATAACTCTGATTTACAGTATTACCCTGATATTTATTAAAATGTGCTTTAAACTCTTAAAAGGACATTGTGTAGCGTTTTCAGTTGTTTATTGGCAAAAATCAATGTCTGCATTCATAAATATGTCATCAATGGTGTATTATTACCTCCACCAATAATCTGACTTATTCTCGTAAAAGGAGAATTTAGGATTTGTTTGTACATTCTAAGTGGTTTGGGGGGCTCCATAATGTTTCGCCATCTTGAAAATACACCCGCCAGCAAGGGACATATAGCACTACCAGGGAATTGCCTCGGCTTCAGCGTTTTCGTTGATAGCCAGGCCAACGCTGTGTGACTGAGAAGCTGAAGGAGAGGAGCAAGACGCGCTTCCCCACTACCCCGGCACTACTGCACCATAACAAAGTCCCACTCTTTGAGCATAATGCAGGATCATGCATATGCAGCATCACGGGAGACGGAATCCTCGTCGCCAAGAAAGCGCATAAGGGAATCAAAAAAGCAACATGAACGGCGAATTCAAAAAATGAGTGTCAACATTGGGGTAGCCTTTCCCAGGTGGAAAGAGCTGCTGAAGGAGAAAGGTCTTAAAAGGGAAGCTGTGATTGGCCTGCTGGCCTGCCTGTCATATTTTTCCCGACAGGCAGGCCAGGCCAATGCAATCACAGGCCAGTGCCGCTGTCAGCGGCACAGTGATGCAAGGAGAGGGATGAGGTGTGTGAGGCTGAGCCAATTGTCAGTTGTCAAAAGACAAGACGTGATTGGTTCGTTTCGATTTACACCCGCCTTCGCGTCGCGTGTGTGTGTAGGAGCCTGAATGAATACTCCATGAAGTATCGGATGACATGGTTTCATCAATGTTATCATAGCTTTTTGGTACACAGTGTTGCAATACGCGTTTGAAACAGTGAGGCGCTAGAGTGCGCTATCTGTTTAAATGCAATATACGATTTCAAGGTTAGGGGGAGAAATTCCTACACACTGTGGCTTTAAAGGTCCAGTATGTAAGATTTAGGGGGATTCAGTGACATCTAGTGGTGAGAATTGCAGGTTGCAGCTAGGATCACAACAGTATATGAGGTTTATATGGTACAATAACCATATCCGATAATGCCCAACGACGAGGCTGAGTGTTGGGTAAGCGTGGGCGATATGGCCCTAAAATGATATCACGATATTTCAAGGTATTTTTGTGATAACAATATTCTTGGCGATATAACAAATTAGTCAAAAATATATTATTAATTTAAGAACATAGAATTGCAAGAAAATAAGTGATATGGTTTTACAGTTTGCCCCCAAATATTCAGTAAAAACCAATCTCTCATTTCTTAAGTTTGTGAACAACAACAGTAACTCAGAGTGAGATACAGATTCTGTATACAATATTAATAGTTCAACAAAATAAAATCTACCACAAATCACACATTTAAACAGTTCCTAAATACAAATATATGTAAATCAACAGGTGATTTCCTTCTCTTTTAGCAAAATCCTAAATGATTGAGTTGATTTTTTTCCACCTGGACCTTTATGCTCGGCCATTTCTCCTCTAATCATCATGCTGTAACCTGTGATGACCTGTTATGCTACCATAACTATCGCACATTCAGTTATATTTCATTTTTATCAAGCTGTGAGCGTCACATAGGTTTACATTACCAAAGGTTTATGATAAAATCTTGACGACACTGAGAGAGGAGAGGGAGAGACACTGTGCTGCTGCCAGAGGAGCCGCTGAAAGAGTTCCCTCTGAGCGGTAAGTCGTTAAAAGAGTCTGAGAAGTCCGGGGCTGTTCATAAAACATTCAGGATGCCACAGTTTATTCCACACTACTGAAGCTGCTCCTCTTTGTATAACCACCGTGGATTCAGTAATAATTTCTCTTTCAGCCATGCTTGTAGTTGCCGTGGGTAACAGTATGATGTCAGTGTCATCAAGTCGAAAATATTATGTCCATCACCACATGAATTTTTCACATGATAATAGAAATTATACCAGTATTATGGTGAACAAGATGATATGACACACCTCTCGTGTCGGGCAAATCATGCCTCCACGTCAGCCATTAAAAAGTGATAATGGACACCTCTTTGGGCATTATCCCGCATATACCATGGTCACTTACCAAAAAAATTAAAAGTTAGAATATTCATTCATATTTTTTATCTTTTTGCAGTCAAAATCTGAAGTTTTTCACAAGCCATAACTTGGTTTTCTTGGCAAGGGTTCTTATGCAATGGAGATGTTATTCAGTACTCAAGTCAACAGGACGAACCTCAGATACAACCCAGCTGTTAGCCAGAAAGCTAATGTAATGCTAGCAAGATTCAAAGCCCATATTATTGCATACAGTTGACAAACAGTAAATATAAGTTGATAGTTAAACAACAAGAAAGGCTAACTATCCAGCCATGTCACTGTCCCCAAATCAACATCAAGATTTTCACAAATAAACAATAGGCCTACGCCACGTGTAATGTAACTGTCAGCTGCAGCCTGTAGTAGCGAGTTGAATAGCAGACAGCATGTGAAATGTTTTCCTAAGGTCAGAGGGGCAGGGTAGTGCCTGCAGGGTGTGTTACAGTCTTCTTTATGTGGTGTTCAGAGGATGAGGCACTGAAAGACGACTCTCAGTGGTATAAATTAATTGTTAACAGAGGATCTGACTGCACCTCTTCTCATAGTAGATATAGGCTGGTACTATTATCTAGCTGGCACATTAATTTAGAACAGTAAACGGCAGGGACGATTCTAGGATCAGAGGTTTAGGGGTGCTGAGCACCCAGAGAGCTGCCCAGCCAGGCAAGATAAATTTTACTGTTTTGTACATTTTAACTCAATTTCATTCCCACATTTGTGAAAGAAAAGCACAACACTTTTTGGGAAAGTCTGTGACTAAACCATCAAATCTGATAAAGGTTATTTAAATGCTGAGCCACAGCAAAAGAGGAATGGATTGGAATCATAAAAGAAACATATCGTAATCCTAATTTCTGGGGGAAGACAACTCATTTTGATACAGCAGCCCCTCAACATACACATAAACAGTATGTATGTTTCTGGAGTAAACCAGCCCCCTATAGTGAGTACCAAAAATACAAAAATGGACCTTGGAATTATTTTTTGGACTTTTATTTGAAATGCAATGCACAACATGTAACATTAACACATTAACAGTAATTGACTTTTTCAATGTTTGTCTCTGCCTTTTTACTTCTTGTCTGTATTATATAATACAAATACATAAATAAAAATACACTTCAAAAAAGAAAAGTGCTTGAAATCTACAAAATAATAATAATAAATACACACAATAGGAGTTATAATGTTAATGGGCATCCAGTCAGTTAGCTAGTCAGTAGCACATTGGCAGCGCATTGCTCTGTGCAGATAGTGCGCTCAGAGCCCGAGTCGGGGAAAGGTGGGAGGGATGGGGTGGATCAAACCATGTTAAAATATTACGTTGCAACCAAGTACTGTATGGTTTTGACAGTTTTCTAGCTTGTTAAAAAGGGACATACAGTAAAAAAAAAAAAAAAAAAAAAATAAAAAAAAAAAAAGGGCTAGAAACGCCTATGGTAAACAGTGTCACCGAAACTACTTAGTAGGTGTCCATTATCAGTTTTAACGGACACCCTGCAGCCAATCAGAATCAAGTATTTACCCAGACCATGATATAAGATGGTATTAAACAATTACTTTTATCATTTCCGATGACCCTTAAAGGAATGAAAAAAGAGATGTTTTACTAATTGAACAAAGGCTTAATTATTATTTGACAATTATAACCATTTTGTTAATGGTAAGTTTGTGTAAAAAGTCTGACTAAGCAAATGTACATGGTTTGATAACTCTTAGTTTTCATATCTTGGTATGCCTTGAAACCGAATACCGTTGCAACCCTAGTTACCTTGTTTTTGTTTTGTTTTTTAAAGATATGTTTTTGGGCATTTTGCTTTTAATGGATAGGACAGCCAAGTGTGAAAGGGGGAGAGAGAGAGAGA